TCCACAGCGCGTAGGTATCCTTCTGAAGGAGTCAGTCATGTGTGTCTTTCAGATAGGGGTTGAGAAAGCCCTTGATTAGGACGGGAAGTCATGTGTGTAAAATTCACACTTTTTACCATCACTGTCTCCCTGTACATAGCGGAAAGAGTGTGTTTCTGCTTCTAGCACACCCGTCTATAGAGATCGTAATTAACTGACGTAAATAGTGATATGAAATTAATCACACGCTTACAGTGAGTTCCTTTAAACCTTTTTAATTTCGGGGTAAAATAATTATATCCGGAGCTGTTTTTTGAAATGAAAGGCCTTGCTTCTGTATGGAAGGCAAATTATTTACACTCGGTTTGTTTCTGATTATATAATCCAAAAAGGAGACCCAACAGTCTTGTGAACTGGAGATAAAAGTGTCTATTGTCTAATTCTACTGATCTTCCTTGGGTGGATTTTCAAACGTTTTCTGTTTCATGATTATAATTCATTAACTCAGCAATGCCGTGTATCCCGCCACCAATTCCCTATAGCATACTAATGTTGTCAGGCATTCTTAAATATTCATATATTATACATTATTTTACAACGCTGTTACACAGGAAAGAAATGAACTTCAAATTAAGAAACGCCCCGACAATGTTTTTGAACTTCTTGTATCCGGCTTCAAAGTTAGGCGGAAGAGTGATGAAAGTGGAAAGTTCAAGGAAGCTTTTCCGGTTGAGAAAAAAAGAGAGGGTCACCAAATACTCAAGAGACAACATGTCCTGTGACTGCATTATCACGTCACGGACTATTGATGTGACTGTCACTGGGGAAATTGCCATCGCTGCCTCTTCTGTGATGGATTTATCCATGATTGCTAACATGGAAATGGTGAAAAGGCCTTCCTCCTTGATCCTCACTGACTGAAAACAAACAGCAGAGATTTAAAGATGATGTTTTAGATACGGTATATTACCCTGCTATACAGCATGATTTGGCCTGCTGGGAACATCTTTGCCTATCATTTAAAATGTTTAATTTCCTTTTTGTTTTGTTCGCTTCATGGAATACCAACTCTTTGCTCACGGCCCGACGCTGAAGGCTGGATTTTCAGTTCCTCTCATGAGTGAACGGCAGATATGTGAGAAATAAACTACAGGCTACGGCCTGCAGAGGTAAAGTCTTCCTCACTCCACTCACTCTATGGCCTTTTTTTTGTTATAGACATTCATGTTCCCCTCAGGAGGACTTGCATTGGTGATATATGCACATACTCAATTACCTAGAATCTGTACTTTGTGTTCAGTGCTCATTATCAAATGCTTTTCTCTAATTGAAGCCATTGGGTGTGCAACGTGTGCTTAAGCAGGTTGAGTAGAAAGATATCAATTTTAACAAAACACGGTGACATCTCATTGAACTAAAAACACGCCTTGAACCAGAAACGTTGGAAAGAAGGGCCTTCACGGTTAAAACCCACTATGGTGAAGTCATTTTCAATGGCTATCGCTTTTATTCCTTATTGCACCCTTATTGTTATTTGATATCACTTGTTATACTGCGAAACGTCGCCCACCTACACGCCACAATTTGCAGCACATTTAGGGTGATTGACCGAGGTTCACAGGCGCCCTATAATTTAAGGAACCAGAGACTTTTACTATGTAACACAACAGGGTTCCTAATATCCTTTGGATTGAAGGTGATTTTGTCCACGCTGCAAACCTGCGAAACCATTAAATGGGGTAAAAAGGTTTCCTCAATGCAGATGGAGTTCTCTGAACTCTTGCTTCTACTATTTAGTCCTCTCTCTCTCTGCTTCTTCTCCCCTCCCACCTTCTTCACTCTCTGGCCCCTTTCTTTCTCAATTGTGTCCCTCGCCTCTGGCAAATGGGAGTCATTTGTTTGTGTGAACTTCCCATAACCCTCAGTGCGTGAGACACTTATCATTCAGGATGGGGCCGCTCCGTCCAGAGCTGTAATACCTCGTCTCCTCTTCCCTTCCACGCGAGTGCCATGTATGTTGCAAGCTGACTCTCGCCATGGTTCGTCATCCTTCTCTAGTCTGTCACTCCCTCTCTTACTCCCTGCTTACCCTTTACCCACTCAACAGTGCACCCCCTTCCGCCTCTCTCGTTCTCCCCCTTCTCTCTCTCTCTCTCTCTCTCTCTCCAATCTCATTCCCAATGTAATCTCGGGGTACACAGGACCATTTTCATTACGGTACTACTCATCTTATCATCCACCCTGTCATCTCCTCTGGCTGCTGTCTTTTTTATATTCCTTTATTCTAACAAGTCTGCATCTGCAAAAGCCATCAGTGGTCCACCTCTCTTCATTTCCCTAATGTACCCCTAACACACACACACACACACACACACACATCCTTGTCTGGTCCAAACCCCGTTGCCCTAACCTGAACCCCATCATCAGGATTTAGAGCACATCCCAGCTCCCTGCAATTGTTTAAATCTACCGTCTGTAGTGAACAGTACAGTAGATGTTTCTTTAACATTTTATCTGTGCGTGTGTTATCTCTGCAGGCAAAGTGAGCAAAACAAAACCGGTGACCCAAACATGGAATATGATGCAATAAAAGAGGATGAAAGACTGAGAGGGTTACACATAGTGAGACAGAAAGGGTAAAAAAGGGAGAGGAAGAGAGTGATTTTAAGGAGAAGAGCTGTTATTGGAGGCCAAGGTGAGCCTCAACCCTCTCGCTTGCTTTAATCCCTCATTTATGTGAACTCAGCTTTGGAAATGAAGCTGTCACCGTATTTTCCTTCTCGTTACCCACGCTGTGGTGTAATCAGAAACCTAGCATGCAACACAGACGCACAGACGCACCGTTTGCAGGACAGAGAGAAGGAAAGTCACTCAGGAGAGGTCTTAAATTCGTCCCAGAGTTGGAGGCAGAGATTCAAACAGCCTCACCTTGTCTCCTAGAGGAGGAATCATCGGATATGTTGGAGACAGAGGGGAATTATGGGTAAATGCACTGGTGAGGAATGATAGCCTGCAATCTCCGGCTCTAATCTGGGATCGCTGACACATGCCATTCATTTCAGACTTGCCAGTATCCCCGCGGATGGTGTAGACTTGAGCATATGCGTGGGACTTTGCAATCTTTTATGCCTATTTTTTGAGACACTAATCTATTCATCAGTTTGCAAACAGCGATGTCAAATTAAATTTAGAAAATGGCGAAACACACTCATTAATATCATCTTTGTTAAAAAATGTAATATGACACATTTAATAGATTGCAAATATAAACAAATATATAACTAAATTATACTGTTCAAATTTGAAGCTTAAATAATTCAAATATTACAAAATGTGTTTTTTGATTATATTTATTTTTCCATTTGTTATTTGTCATTTTGACATAGTATGACAGCGACAGGACATCGTGCATCGATGACAGCCTTTAAAGGGTAAATGTCCATTGTGAAACCACAGACTTATACTGCCATCTAGTGGTTATAAATGATGGTTAGATGGATGGATGGATGATGACTGTGTTATCTGTGTGATGGTTAGATGACCAGAGAAGAGGAAATAGCTCTTTAATACTGGTACATCTCTATAATGGTAAAATGGATGTGTTTAAAAATAGTCAACCACAAAAATACATTTTTTAATAAATGTATTCTCATTTAGCAGAATTATTATAGTCCAGAAGTTCTGGTCTTTGAACCACAAACGTGTGGGAGAATTACATGATTAACATGTCAAACTTATGTACCGTAAATCGAGATATCTTTCATATCCCAGTGCATCTTTTTGCTCCTCCGCCCCTCGATCCTTTCGCCCCTCCGTGCCTCCCCCTCGCTGCCCTCCTCAGGCGGGGCGGGCGTCCGACTTGGCGTGTAATGGCGTGCCGTCAGTTTGGGCAGCGGGTCGAGGTGTGGGGAGGAGAGCGGCGCGTCTCAGATGAGATATGTGACTGGCATGCTAACGCACAGTTTTATCTGAGGAGAGGAAAAAGAAAGGGGCCGGGGCCCCCACATCTCCTCACCGTAGGCCTTTGATTAAAGCACCCTGGGTACACACACAGGCACACACTTCCAAAACACACACATACGGCAGTGTGCACACACGCGGGATTATAAATAAATTGCAGGTAGGCCGCATACACCCATACAGTATATATGCATGCACACATCCTCCCGTTGTGGGTGGTGTTGTTTTGACCTAAGCCAGGTAGCTGGTCCATTATGAAGTTGATAGGAGGATTTGGTCATGTTGATTCTAGACAGCATCAACTCCTCTGCCATAAATAACCTGAGTGTTTTTCTCTGAGTCACACAACCGCATACGGAGAATAAGAGCTCTCAGCTTTATCCTCCGCTTTCATCCAGTGCACATAAACGCTCGCACAAACACAACACAAACCCCCCCCTAAGAAAATGATTGTCTCTGGATGGACGTAAACAAAATAACAGATTTAAAAGTACAGTTGGTCCCGGCTCAGTTTCAGCTTAAATTGTCCCTTCACAATCTATTTCAGCTTTAGGGTTTGTCTCCAAGTGTGTTTTCTCAGATGGACGGTGGGGAGAAACTGGTTAGATTTTAGATGAGCAGCATCATCCGGCAGTGCAGTCTCAATAGCTTGCCAATAAAGCTTTGGGTACACTCCGTATATCTCTACCCAATGGAACTGTGGGGGAGCATGATGACTTCCATGACGGAAGTGATGGATAAACACAATCAGTTTTCTTGCATCTGGATAAATTGTGTTGAAAGGCGCCGTGTCAATTGATCACCACCTGTCAGTCTCTATTGTTTTCCATTTCGGTATTAGATGTGAAATTTTTGTCAATTTCCATTTATTACTAGCAATATGCATTGAAATGGTTTCGTGTGGTTGTTTTTTATCTCACTTTTCTTTTTTTTAAACCAGCAAAATGTGGAACCCTGTTAACTTTCCTCTTTGGACCACACGAGGGAGCTACCGTTGCATACAGCGGACTTTTGTCATGTATGTTATGCATTTCTAAAAACAAATACACACTCGAACAATCAATACTCAAAACGGCATTTTAATCAATACACTGCATAAATTAAGAAATCTACACAAACCAAAATAATAATCCTGATTCCAAAAGTGGAATACAGAAAGACACTTCAAATGTTTCCTGTCATCTATATGACTATTTACAGTAAGTTGTTAAAATATTACAATTTATCAACGTTTCTTTTTTAATTTAATAAGATGTCTTGATAGGTTATTTTTATTTTTCATGTTAATCTTCACCACAAACTGGTATTATTATGTTTTAGCTGCTGCATTCATGTATCTTCAGAATATATTGATTCTACTTTCTTCACAAATATTTCTTCCTCTGTATTACCCATAATGTCTTTTTAGGTAAAACATATAAATCCATGCAATCAGCCACAATGTCTTGTCAGTTGTTTCAAACACAACAACAGACCTAAGACCAGTTTACCGCTCTGAACGGTCCCACTCGAGCTAATGTATAAACAAAACAGAGGATCACATCTCTCGGCCAGCTGTAATTTGTTGATGATAAAACAAAGATATTTTTTCTTTTGTATTTCTGTTAATTAAATACCATTTCATAAATGTACACAGTATAAGGATTATCATAGCAGATAAGCATAAGGATATAAATGGGCATTTTCTATATCCAATCAAGCAAGTCATCAGTCAATAAACACTACACTTACAAAATTTAAGAAGGTATATACTTAAAAGCACTACTATTTTAACATTTCCACTGCGGTCATTTCCATGAGAATATACCTAACTGACATGAAAAGGTTGTAAAAATCTAGATACTGCATTGAAAAAAAAGTATATCACTTTTAGCCCACCACGATAATACACATTAGGTTTTGTTAAACCCTGGTTTGGTGTTTCATTGGTTTACTGAATCGGGAAAGTGTCAGATTGAAGTTTAAAAGTGCTGCAGGGAGCAGCTTTTATTACGTCTCAGTTCTTGTTTCGACACCACCAAGCAGTCACGTGGAGAAGGAGCAGGGTAAAGTCTAACCACAGACCCTGAGCGGGGACTGCTTTCATAATCTTATGACTGGGATGATGGATTGGTGGCAGGGGAACTGTGCCCGTGTCCGCTCCTTTGACAGAGTGCAGGGGGGCGGGGGGGGACGGGGGGGGGGGGAGTCAGAGATCTGTCTGCGTGGGAGGAGAGGGGCTGGCCGGAGGACAAAGAGGATGGGAAAAGTGTTTGTACTTCTCTGGGGCAGGACCCTGGGGGGGTGAGGGGATGGGGGTATCTGGAGAGGCTGCAGACAGAGAGGAGGGGAGAGAGAGAGAGAGAGACTTTGTTTATTTTTGCCGAAAATATCTTTTAGTGTGAACAAAAGAAATGTTGTATGCATCGAGTGAGCAAAGTGTATCCGCTGCCGCCTTTGGGAAGTGTTACATCTGCTACTTTATAGATACAGTTCCCATCAATCTTGTGTGGCCATTAGGTGGTGGTAATATTGCCAAATATATTTTTCATTTTTAAATGAAATCCTACAACAGGGCTGAGGCTCATCAATTCTTGTAAGTGTTACATTTGAATGTGTTTTTTTCACATTTTGCGATGCCTATTTATTCGTGTTCAACTGAGTTAATGGAAACACATCTGGCGCCGACTTTTGTTAAATTGCATCCTAGGAGATAAATATACATCAATGTCTCTTCGATATTTCCAGCGCGCGTGTCAGAAGCTCTGCGCTTTTCTGGCTGAATGCGGGTTTGCGTGAGTGTGTTGCGCGCCTCGGGGTTGTCGAGTATCTGGCACTTACCTATCTGTGTGGTGTGAGCGACAGGCAGGGTGCTGATGACCAGCGTGTGTCCGGTCAAAGGGTCCTGGGCCAGCTGGGTGTGTGCCGGGTGGTGCAGGTGTGTGGGCTCTGACGTGAGACCTGAGGAAGCAACACAACAACCCAATATTCAGCTTCAGTTAGACGCTGGAACTGGAAGCAAGAGTTCTTTATGCAACAAGGGAAAACTCATCAGACCAAAAAGAACAATAGGTGGTTCGCGTGGTAGAATGAACAAGTTTTCTAAATTGATGGGGAGTTTATTTCTTTGCCTTCAAAAGAGTTTTGCCACAAGTGAGTTAGGCCTGAATAACTTGTAGAAGGACGTTGCACTTTTTTTGTTTCAAACTCTATCAACATTGCGATGTTTTATCAATACCACATTCACTTTACTATATATAACATCTCAACAATATATTTTAATAGCCTTTTTTTTTATGTACCACATTCCTAATAAAAAAACACCCGGCACTTTATTTTGCACCATCTTCCAAGTCGGGTTGTCATATTCTGGAGATGTTTTTAGGATTTATGGAGAAAAAATACATTTTTGGAGATGACTTAGTACTTTATTCAATGCCACATCTTGTGCTTGAGTTGTCTGTCGTGGCCCTGTTTAGAATCGGTTTGATGCACTCTACCTTTAACTACAGACTTCCTTATTCACACACACACACACACACACACACACATTGTGTTTGCAGATGAAAGTTGTCTGTTTTGGCTTTGCCTAAAGTTACCACCTCACAGGAAAATCTCTTACTTTTTACTTATATATATATCCGGTAAAACTTTACACAGTTTGTGTGTTTTTGTTTTTCCACTTGCGCACATTTATCACTGAATCGCTCCACTGCAGTGTTTGGTCTCGCTGAAGGTCGGCCTGTTTTTCTTTCTGATGGTCTACGAGCACAGACGTGGTCCCAGTCTCACCTCCCAGCAGCATCTCATGCAGCAGGTTGTCTATCTTGGCCAGGCCACAGAGCTTAATGAACTGAAGCTGTTCGATCATCTGCCAGGTGATGCTCTGCAGGGTGGGCAGCAGGAGTAAGAGCTCGCCGAAACGACCCCTGGAGTCGTACTGACGGTCATTAATGTAGTCTTCCAGACTCATCTGGACCTGTACACACACACACACACACACGACGATAAGTCAAGTTATGAATATACTATCTATTTGGGATAATAAGGTATGTAAATATTAAGCTACAAGAGTGAATTGATTGACCAACCTGAAGACGAATGGCCTTAATCTTCATCGGGTCCCGCAAAGACTTTGCATCTTTGGATTGGGAAGGGGGGGGGGGGGGGGGGACAAAATGCGGGGGGGGGGGGCGGGGTTTGAAAAACTCCGTTTGGATTTTAGGAAATACACAGGACCTCTGGCTAAAGAGAAGAATAAAAAGTAAAATTGAGCGGTTTTTTTGCGGGGGGAAGTAAAGGAGGGATGCTTTTACTTCTAGTAAGGCGAACGACTTTTATTTACCTTATGACTTTTAAAAAAGGTGGATGGGGAGATTATCAACTTAAAAAATTAATGTATTATAGAGACAAACATCTACATTAAACATCTATATATATACGTATCTTCCTGGCTTCAGAAGCTTTGGTAAAAACAGAGGATTTCTGTTCTTAATATACATCCCATGTCTTCTCCTGGCTCACGATGCTTTTTACATTTACATTTTTTGAATTACCCGGGTCAAAGAAGACAATAGCCTTGAGCGCTGCATACTCGTTGTCGTCTATTTGAATGTCCTGGAAGGGCTGCACCAGCTCATCCAGCACCCGGTTGGCTACCTTGTACATCTCTTGCTCAGGACTGTTCCTGTGGATCACACAGCCACTACCTGCAGATACAGTGAGCGCGGGTTAGAGCCGCTGTTGAAGTAAGGTAGGGTCGACGTAGGGTAAAGTGCTCGTCTGTGCGCTTGTGTGGGAAGGTTGGAAAAAGAAAAGTTGAATCCGACTTTCAGCCAAGGTCATAACAGTGGTCCTAAGACACAAGAACGCACAATGTGTGCGTCTCAGGGCTGGTGGTTTTGACAGACCGGCCTGCAGTATGGTGTTAGTACACGTCTAGGTAATGAGTAATGCCGTTTACAAAAATACTTTGGAAGTGATAAAGAAATAGAAACCATAAGTTAATCATTCTCTACAAGCACAACATTTGATCTCTGACACATACAGTGCAAAAAATGTTTTTAGTTACTGAGACAGGACTTGGGAACCACCTGATTATAAATTAATTGTTAATAAGTAGTTTCCCTTTCTGTGCCCAGTAAAGTGGCACGTCGGAGACGTCTTTCATTACCTGCTGAATGTCTTTACAACCTCAAGCTGTTAATCAAAATCTCTGATACTAATCTACATATACAGCCGTTATTCCAGAAGTATCGATGCATTCATTATCGGGTCATTCATGATGTCCATGATGTTTTGTAACCGCGCTCGTAAATTGTTACACGTTTGGTTAGTTTTCACATTGTTTGCACAAAGTTGTAAATCTGACGCTATTCTTCTGGTCGGTTCGTACCTAAAAGCAGGAAGTCCTTGAATGGCATTGACCTTTTGGCGACACCAAGCAAAAGGTGCTCACCTGCATGAGCCCTGAGCAAACTCACCTGGAAACAAACACACACACACACACACACACACACACACACACACACACAGTCAAACAAAGAACAAAAACAATGTGATGTGAAGAATGCCTCTCCTTTTGCATTCACATACGTAACGTAGGGAATATACTTTGACTCAGGCAGGATATTCAGCAGTCACATCAAGAAACCTCCACTTTATTGCTTTTAATTGTGCTTAAGTGCTTTAATGGAATAAGACATTTGTTCACAAACGACATACAAACTAATACTGAAGTCTGAGAGGTTTAAAGTTAGGCCTTTGGATTGCAAATTTTGACGCTGTAAAGCAACAGCAGAATTAAAGTCGATGCATCATGCAATCAGAGCTGTGATACCTGGTCATCCAGTGGCAGTTCCCCAAATGCAGGAATGTACTTGGCCCATTCCACCAGGACCAATAACTGTTGTCTCATAGAGTCACATGCATCTCCCACTGTCGCTGGCTTCTGCTCTGATGCGTCTGCTACTGCAAGTGGAGCCGTGATCTGAGACACACAGAAAAACAATGGCTTCCTGGGTTAAGACCCCTGGGTTTTCTCCTGCACATGTTTTAATCAGGCAGCGCATGATGTGTTGCCTGGTAAATATATCTTGAAAAAGAAATTAACACCTGTTGGGACAGTGATTCAGCTTGGGCCAAAATGGTAATGGGTGGCATGTCCTGGGTGTCGGGGATACTTCTTCTGGAGCTGATCCGATCCCGCTCGTTCTGTACAGCTAAAATGTAGAAAGGCAGTCGAAGTTTACGTGTGTGCGTGTGTGTGAGTGTATGTGCGTGTGTGTGTGCAACAGAAAGAGCAATACAAGAGTAAAGGAACAGCACCCCCTGTACTTATGTTTGAAATAACTTCGAAACTCGGAATTTGTTTCTATCTTGATTTAGTCAGCCGTATGAGTCAAACGTTAACCAGTTGCAGTCCAGAACAACATGTTTGAAGAACACGTGATTAGGTGTCATAAAACTCATTGCCAAGGTTAAACCCCTCATAAATACAAACACACACACACACACACACACACACACACACACTAAGTAATCACTCATTTTATTGCTGCGCCAACGTCCGCCATCTTGAAGCAGCTAAGAGATTCTGTGTCGACATCCTCCCCTGCAACTAGTTTTAATTGTAAACTTTGTCTCAATAGAAAAAAAAGAAAACCTCTAAATAAACTATAAGATGGTGTTTATACAAGGTTCAGACTTTGTATTCTTTATCTCTTTGCGTAAAGCTTCCGTGAAAGTCGACTTTTTCTCTCGTTTGCTCACCTTCTTTCTTCATGCCAGCCCTGAAGCATTTGTTGAGTCTGCAGAAACGACATTGGTTCCTCTTATCTTTATCCACGACGCATTGTCTGCTGAACCTGCATAAAGAAGGCAGAAATAACGTATGCCGCTTTGCAGAGCGAGACGTGACAAAGTGTACTGCAAGTCAATGTGACATGGCGACGGTTAGCAGGTGCTCGTGCTCATGAGGCTGCACATTTACAACAGCATGTTCATGCGTGCGCGTGTGATTGCTCATGCTGTTCTATTTCCATCTCATATAGGAAACTGTGGCATGAAGTGTGCATTTGTGTGTACGTTTTGGCTCACACAGACTTTGCTCTCCGTACCTGCAGGTGTACACATGGCTCTTGCGTATGGAGCGTCTGAAGAAGCCCTTACAGCCGTCGCAGCTGGAGGCTCCATAGTGTTTTCCTGTGGCCTTGTCTCCACAGATGGCACAATTACTGCTGACTCCGTCTGGACCGACTGACAGGCCTGGCTCTATTGGCATGCTGTCTGAAACGTACAGGTAAACGCAAGGACACAGGCTCACACCTCCGTTGTCACACATTGGCACGGACACAGAATTGCTATGCACATACAGGAATGCCGTCGGCCACTGTGGTCCAGCACTGCGATCCACTGCACTCTTTCCTCCCATAGAAGCAACCACGCATGAAACCACTAGTTCCTGTTACTGTAATTGCAGAGTTCATTGAGGCGTTCCCATAACTGCTTAGAAATTTGTTTAGTTTTGTACATCAAACTAAATATAAATCAGCGGGCCTTTTAAACGTCACCGTCAATGTGTTTATTGTCACCGCCACCTCCTCATCGCCATGAGCATTGTCATCATTACCGACAGCAGCAGGAGCGCTGTCACCATAATCATCATCGTTGCCTGCATATTAATGGTTCAGTCAAAGCATGCTGAATAGAACACGACAACCATCCAACAACGGTAAAACCTCGAGATGCATCAACACAAAAACACGTACACATCTCCAGAAACAAATCTCTCCCGGGCCGACACCAGGCAGTGCCAACGCAAGGTGAGTAAATGTTCAACTAAGTCTCCCTTTAACGTGCTGAGATGACATCAGCGTCTCACTGAGATGCGTGCATGCTCATCAATAAAACATCTTTATGGTAGCTGTTGGAATTCCTGCCTAAAAGCTTTTATTAACGTTCTGATATTACACGTTAAAAACCCGACGTAGCCCTTTTCTGCCTTCGTTACCACATATTTCCTCTGTGTGAGCAACATGCAACTCAAAATGAGTGTTAGGGTTGTTGGCCGACATCAAAATGCTGTTACTTCCCCGTTGCTTAATTTAACCCTTGTCTTTTGTGTTAATAGCAACAAATGTGCCTTCTGCTGGCCTCACTTCCCTTCTCATTTTTAAAACAACCACAGAAGTTCTAGACCTCCTCTTCACATAGTTCAGAGGTAGAATACCCATCCAAAAACCTCCCTGCAAAATGCATTGCATGGAACACAGATTCACCAGATGCAAAGCTCCTCCCACTTCTCTCCCCACAGTAAGACATTTTACAGGCCCACACTGCCATGTGTGTCATACTATAAGGAGCATGTCCAGCTAAACATGCATGATAAAAAGATTTTGATGCTTGTCGGTGCATGCGTGGATGGCTACACACACTTACCTCCTCCTCCTCCACAGAGCACCTCTGCGTTCTCAAAGCCCAGTGTGCTGTATGAGGGATCCAGGCCTTCACAATAGTTTGCCTCTTCCATTTCTAACAGAGACTTACTCTGAGGAGCGGAATGATACTTCATTCCCGTTTCAACTTGGCTGTCCTCACCCTTCTTCTTCCTCCTCCCTTTGCTTCTCTCCTCTTCTTCAGTTCACTCTCTACTCTTCTCCTTTCCTCTACCCGCTGGTCTTTGGTTCATCTTATTCTTACAGCCATAACAAGGGACATCCCTGGCATGAACGATCTATATAATCCCATCTGATTGGGGCAGAAACGAGGAGAGGGGAGGAGCTGCGGCCTAAGACTTCTTACTTTATTGCACATCACTTATCTGTCCTTCTCTCTCACACTTATCACAAGGATGGAGCGATAGAGGTGAAGGAGATATTTCCCCTTCTCCCCCTCTGTCGCTTTTTTTCTCACCAAGATTTTGTCCGATTTTAGAAGACAGCTTGCACGTTATGTGCGTGCTGGTAAGCGTAGGTGTTTGTGTATTTGCATGCACTGCATTTTGTTTGTAATCACATTCATTTATCCGTGTGTGTGTGAGTGTGTTTGTTAGTCTTTATGTGTGTGTTCGTGTCCTTCCCTGACATTCTAATCTAATCAATAGTAGAGTAATAGCAGCACCACCTCAGCAGATATGATCTATAAAGACGCAACGTGATGTGCAAAACACAGATAACTGCCATTAACTACTCAACTCTGACCCCCTTTCTCTATACATGCAACCTTTATTTATTAAAGCTATTAATATATGGTGCTAAATAAATTACCTGGTCATGTAACTTTTTTTAAATCTCTTTTATCTTAACAACATTTACCTCACTGACCAGACTCAATCATGTTGAGACAATAATGTTATGTGATGTAATGGTATTTGTATTTTGAGTTATTGGGGTTTTTTAGTTGCCCGGAGGGTCCTTTTAAAACTAATTGTTTTGTGATTGGATTCATTGCAATTTTGCTGTAATTGTGTATGACTGACATGTCAGTACATATCAAAAGTTGAACTAAATGATAATTGTCAGGTATTTTTCTTTAAGAGTTACAAGCCAATCTGGTATGTAAAAGTACTGAATAATAGCCCCCTGACGAGCAGTATGTAATATTTACACAACTGTTTGGTTCTCACACTTCATTTAACCCTCTTATTGAACAAACAGATCATATTTAGCAAGAAATGCACAGTTAAGAGAGGTTCTATCAAGTGGAAATGTTGTCGTTGAGCTGCCTCCTCTTTCACCCAGGAATGCTGTAAAAACACTGTAATTCACAACCATAAACCAGTTAAAATGCCCCCCCCCCCCTCCCCCCGCCGCCATTAAATATTGGGAGTTTCATTGCGCTAAATCTTATTGTGTGGCCTAAAGGCAATCTGCTGGGGAGATTGTGTTAGAAAGAGCTGTAAATGATAAGAAGCCAGTATTATGGGATATGTGATGCCCGACATCAGTAATGAGTGAGCCAGTCAGCAAAGTACCTCCAGTATATGAGCAAGAATGGGTGCTATATACTGTTACTGGAGGCCTAATAAATCAGGAAAAGCAATTAGTATCCGGTCACATTGGTAATACCAGACATCTTAGTTAATATGCAGTCCTGAAATAAAGTAAAGAGAGAGAGACAGAGATTACATTTTAACCTGAGTTTTGAGGTCACGCTTCCTGATCATCAGGTGTGTGGACGGTGAAGAAGGATTCACTCTTTACCTTCACATGGTATTATTATGCTTAAGATACGGTTATTTTTTTTATTTTTTTTTATCTTTGAAGACAGATACAATATAATGAATAATCCATTGTTGTTATTATTATTAGCTATTGGTGAATAGGTTAAAAACTTTTTAGCCCCTGATATCAAAACGACTGCCTTTAGTTATGTTTTTTTCAACATTTTGAACACATCATTTTTCTTCTTTAATTTCTTTGCATCGCTACACCACCTCAAGAGAGTCCGCTGGTACAGTTTACCATTTTAACTTTGCTCACCACACTAATGCACTGGAAACTCATTTACGCTGCGTTGCAAATACGCATTCAAGTGGATTCAACAGCTCACACGCAGGTACAATCACCAGGCTGCCGATTTGGAAAAGTTTTATGTGAATGCAGGTTAAAACACATTGCGCATTCATACATACTGAAAATCATTAAAAAAAACTATAATGACTTCTTTAGCTGACTACCAAGAAGCACGGCGGAGAAACGTTGCACCCGCCCAGCAACCGAAAGCTCTTTGAAGCCATAAAGCCGAGTGCTAAGAGGCTATCTGTGTGTGAACCGGCCATAATGCTGCCACTGCTATTTACATTAGAGGCTTTAACAGTTACAAATGATGGTCGGCCCCCCCAACTGACTCCAGTGACCCACTACTTCATGATACCCGGTCAATAGAAAAAGAAAACACAGTGCAGGAAGACTTGGTTGGGTCCCATTAAAACGCTATTGAAGGATCAATTCTTATGTTGGTATTATATTGCTCTGCGTACATGTCTTCTTCCCGCCTATTTCACCACTGGAAGTGGATTTGTCAGTATTGCCCTGTGCGTATTCTAGCCTTCGCCGGCTGTTTTTGTCAGACAACTAGATTTCTGTTGGATTTCATTTCCCAAAAACCGTGCATCACCGAAATAAATCATTTTAAATATTTTAGAAATACATGTGTTGTTTTTTTATTTTTTTATTCAACACCAAGTTAATACTCATATTGGTAGTGCATTACAATATAAATACACTGCTTCCATCACCGCGTTCCTTGTGCAGGCGAAACTGGTTAACCAAAAAGTGAAGTAAGCGTGAAAGTCTATCCGTTCTGACCCTAAATGCTTCCCGCAGACGGAGCTGTGAGAACAGCGCTCTCATTAAATAAACTGAACAATGACATTTTAACTGACTGAAACAACCTCAAACTGTATGTATGTGTTGGACGTAAAAAAAAAAAAAAGCGAAGTGTATGTGTAACAACCAATACCAGAAAAGTACAAACCACGTGATTTATCAGAACACGTTACCAAACTTCCTTACTAAATGTAAGCTTCACATCCTCCACAAAAGTTACAGCATGCCTCCTACTACACCACAGCCGGAGTGAATATTTTGACAATTTACTTAACGGCAGGACTTTGGCTTACCTGTGTCTCTGCGTCTGCCCGGGATGTGCATTTATCCGGTCGCGCTGTCGTACTCTGGTAGCGCGCAGTGCGAAAGTGCAACATTGATCTGAGTGACACTGGGGACCGGGAAAACGCTGAAGCTGTTTGACAACATCAAAAAGGAAGGTTTGAAGGGCTGAGCGGCCGATAATTCACGAAGCGACACATTGGATGGTGCCACCGAAGCCCCGCCATTAGATCGATTTACTAAACAAACTCAAAATAGGGTGGGGATGTTAAACAGTAACCCAAAGCCATAAAGGCCAAAAGGAAAAGATCACCAGGGGTGTGTGTTTATTGTGTGTGTGTGTGTGTGTGTGTGTGTGTGTGTGTGTCGCAGCCAGGGCCTCTAACACCACCTCTGTGGGCGGCGTGAGCGATCCAAGGGGCTTGAAAGTAATGTTTCACACAATAATGGTGAAAAAGTAACAACTGTATTTATTTCCATCCAGGTATGTATACAAGGCTCAAGTGCTAGCAAAAAAAAAAGGTGTGATGCATTTAATTTTCCTTTCCACTCACATACCTTTCACACAAGTCAGCATTTGTATAGACATTGTGTAAAGGCCGTTGGAATAATGGCATAATAGCATTAAAATGCTCAAATTTGAAGCTTGTAGTACATACAATGACCAGCAGGTGGCCAGAAATTGTTCATTGTGTTCATTTTTGGTCCGTGTCACCACCTCTTTCTCCCATAGCACTTTTAATATTCAAATAATTGGGAATAATAGGAAAAGGTTTTTCAAACAAAACAATTACCACTTAACAAGGCTTCTCAAATAGCTGCAGTTGATAAAAGAAATAAAGAAAGTTACTAACTAAAGCAATTCCTGTACCATGACCCCGTGACACATATCCGACCAAGTGTTGTCAAATAGCTTTTCCCGGTAAGCACACGTAGCAGGTTCTCTTCCCCAAGAAGGTGAGCATGTCCAAGCAGTTAAAAGTGGTCAGACTCAGAAACACCTCATTGATGTTCTGCAAATTGAGGTCGGATAAGTAATGCAGACGGAACATGTGGTAGGGAATGAAGCAGACCACCATGATGAGAGCGAAGCACAGACTTTTCAGCTGCGCCCCGAAGTCCTGCTGAGACGTGCAGCCCTGCCGGTGCTTCCTGTATAAAACCCGCAGGGCATTGGCCTGCAGGCCCGCGAGCCCCGTGGCCACCACTATGATGCATGTGCTTATGAGGTAGTTCACCACCTTGGCACCAGAGTTGATGTTGACTCCAAACTGGAAGCAGTGTGTCACAGTCCCACCATAGGAGGTGGGTTCTCCCGTTTCTTTGCCGTAGGCAAAATGGATTATGCAAGGGACCACGACGAGCACCACCATCCACACCGCGGCGCTGACCACGAGCGCGTGGATCCTCTGGAAGGAGGCCTCCCGCTGCTCTTTGTGGTAAAAAGCCCTGAGGCGCATGATGAGGATGATGACGTAGAAGATGAAGGACATGTACATGTGGATGTGAATCATGCCGCTGACCACTTTGCACCAACCGACGCCGAGGCTCCACTGGTTATTGGCGTAATAGTAAATCCTGAAAGGCACGGTGAGGAGGAAGACAAAGTGGGTGAAGATGAGGTTGAGAACAGCTATGGAGGTGATGGACGTGGAGCCGGACTTCATGATGTGCATCATCAAGCTGAGGCTGATGGTCCCGCTGAGCAGAACCACGCAGTAGATGACCAGGAGGGCTGTGCGGTACTCATCGGGAAGAGGTGAGGGGCTCGGGGTCGTCATTGAGGTTATGTTGGGGGACAGCGTGCTTTGGACCACAGTGGACGCCATCTTAAGTAAAGAAAGGGAAGAAGAGAGAGGAGCGCATCAGTTACAGAAGTGATACATTAGGAAGTGGTTAATATAGTTTGGGCCTTTGTTAAAAGCTGTTTTGGAAGGATTGGGTGTCTAAGAATGGAGGATATTGAAAGCTGCTATTGGTTTGTTTTGACATTTTTTCTAGGTCAATGTATTTTACGTATGAAAAGTAACGGAAACACGAAAGATGTAAAAAATGAAAAATAATGTCAGTTAAAACTATGTGAATTCCTTTATAACTCCGGCACAATCGATTTTATTCTTAGTTTGTAATAACACAGCTTATTATTATGTTATACATTTAACCACAGAATACTTAGTATTAATTTAGTCCTTTACAACACAACCTGTTTAACACGAAACGAGTAGGATATAAACACGTATTTCAGGCTATATGCTGAGAATTAGCAAAGAGAATAACACTGCTGTGGAAATCAACTCGTGCATAAACAGTACAAAGACAGAAAAGACAGACTTTCGTACCTTCTGGTTCCAAGAGCAACCGACCGCCGACCGCTCGAGTGTCAACGAGTGGCGGGAACTGATGTGTCGAATCCACGTTGAATTAAAGGAGATTGCGCGAGCGACAGTACAATTTTCACAACGTGCTGCAGGCCATTGTGTCAGAAGGCACTTCTCCGTGTGTGTGTGTGTGTGTCTTTGTCTCTTGTCAACTGAACGTGCGGATGTTCTGGTTTTTGTGTGTGTGCCACTTAAGGTTTCGAAAATTAGGTGTCTGGGTGACTTTGTTTTTTTTAGAAACCCCCAGTTTGCATATACGCGCGTGTGTGTGTGTGTGTGTGTGTTGTGTTCACACATAAGATGGCTTGCTGCTTCCTCCTTCTGGTCCCCCTCCTACCCAAGCCCGCTGTTTTGAGCGAATGGGTTATAGAACCGTTCATTAAAGGAAAGAAAAAGTGAGTTTTGTGGCATTGGTCGCATGCATTGATAATCATGGAGAACAAAAAAAATATATATATATTTTAAAAGCTTAATATAGAAAGTATATCCGTGAGGTTTACATAGAATGTCTGCACTATCTGCCCTGCTAAGAAAAGAAGAAACACATTTCACAGATGCTTGTTTCCCACCACAGCTTCTTCTGCTTTTTGGTTTGAAATCTAACCCAACAGCACATACACCCGGTGATCTCAATAAGTATTTCATAATGTATGTTGAGAACAGTCATACCAATCAATATAATATAGTAAGCCAATAATACATTGTGTAGCGAGTAAATGATTTATACACAACGGAAATTGTGGTAAACACTTACTTTTTAACCCGCTCCAGTTTGCATTCAGCTGGATGGACGTCTTAGGCGTCTAAGACGTCTAAGTCTGCAATGGGGCCGATATGTATTGATCTACTCATAACCACTTTGAGAAAACGCCTCTGTTTAGTCACTACGTGCAGTTAATGTTATATGTGTCGTCCGTAGTATTGATTTATGGGTTGAATTGAAAATAAAAACCCATGTTGTGTTTTGTTTTTATTAAAACATACTAACAATCCCAATGTTCTTATCTGATCAAGCATTTACACGTTTCCAACTGCAACCACAATCCCAGTGGTGGCCACTGGGTTCTGGGCTCTCCAGGGGGCCACACGACACATTTCCCCCCCCCTTGAGCTTCTAAGTCCAGCCTAGAGCTTCGGGACGTCGCGATGTACAAACAAAGAGCACATAAACTGTACTGGACACCAAGCTTGATGCGGTTAATGGCTGCAGTAAATACAACACACTGGTCCCATTATGGAAAATTCCCTTTTCCATTCCCCCAGTTGGACTGGTTCAGAAAACACAATAAATTAAAAGTTCTCCCTCTTCCTTCTCAACAAGAAGATGTTTTAGGCAGCTTCAGAAGAAACAATGTCAGCCTTCTTGAGAGGATCATAAGTCGGCCGACTTGGCAAGAGCATATAAAAATACAGTAAAATTCCACTGGCCTCAGTCAATTAATTAATCATTAATGTAAAAAAAATGCTGTTGGAACAGCGACTGAGTACACGAGAGGTTACAATGTAACAGGACTTTGTTTTAAGTCCTAGACAGCGAGCGTGTTTCTTACGCTGTTCCAAGGAAGACAACGATTGTTGAGAATTCAGTATTTCTTGTGAAGTTGTCGATGTCACAAGCGAGACACTAGTTAGGGGAAGTGCTTCTTGTGTCTCCACAGAGTGAGTCTTTGCGAGGTGAGAATGTGTGTTACCACACTGAGCAGCATCAGGAAGATGGTCATCGACATCACTATCACATAATGGCTGATGCTGAAAGAGACAGAGAAATAACTTGATGGGGAACCGTGTGCATCACAGATGGCATTCAAAGCGATGTGTGTGCACGTGAGTCAAGTTAATAATTAGTAATTCATCAAAACCATGGATTTTCCGAGTCGACCAACCTTGTGCCAATGTCTAACCAGCTGCCGTAGTCCTGCACGAGGAAGAAAAAGTGCTGGGGAGAGGATGAGGAAGTTCAGAATTACTATGCAGTACTTAAAAAAGGAAGAACATCCCAGTGCATCTTGAACCTTTCACACAGCCTTACCAGAGCCATCAGGTCAGAGATGACCAGGACAATGAGGAACAAGCTGTAGAAGAAGAGTGCAGACAGAACAGAGGAAAGCATTACAGGCGAGACATTTTACCTTAGGAACATACGCAATAGGAAAAACACTATATAAAAGATCCTCCTCACACACGGCAAAAACTCTTTAATTATTGGAGCTGACTCATTGTTTCAACTCTATATATAGTGCGCAAGAGGAAGCTTCTTTCCGTTGGCAAGTGTTTAAGAGGCAACTGCATCGAAACCAAAAACAGATGTGGTTTACGTGTACTGGGTACGCAAGTCCCCCCAACCACCAGAGAAGTACAGATCAAAGGATTGTAACTGAACTGCCCCGATAGCAGACGAGCCGAGTGTCTCGTTTTGAAAGCAGTTTACCTTCTTGATGAAAGCTGCGTTGCAACTTGGATGGTCTCAAATGTGCACATTACTATGATGAATGGAATGACAACCTGGAAGAACAAAAGAACATATAAAGTATTCAAGGTCGAAACATACGCATTTCTCAAACATATATCTATAAATTGTGAGGTATGGGGGTACACAGTTGTACCGTACCTTCCACATCATCAGCCCTCCCATAAGGAAGGGATTGAAGACAGTGAGGAAACAATAAACAGACGCTGGGTCAAAACTGGAAGAAATTTGAAAAAGGCAGAGGATGTGAGTGCAGCTACAAACTAAAGAAAATTACTTTTTTGGGCAATAAATAGTTATATATGTATGTAGAAATGTAATACCTGTTAATGGAAGCGATGTTCCCTGTGCCAAAGAAAGCGGTGATTATAAAAAATACCTACAAAACATATATGGTCAAGGAAAAATTGAAACTATTTCCTCATAACCTTTTCAATATTCTAATTAGATGTAGTTTGGCCTGAACAACAACCGTGAGACAGAATCACTCCTTCCAAATGCACTCGTGCAGAAAAGGGTTTTATCTTTGCACGCTTTTAGCCGTCACCGTTGCAAAACGGATACAAAAAAATACGATCTCCTGATGTCGTCCAACTTCAGCTGTCGGAGTTTGGCGATGTCGATGTTTGCGGAGAAATCAATTGTCGAGAGCTGAAAAAGAAATACATTTTTCTTTGGACCACATAAGGAGGCACCAGAATGCATATTTTGATAAAATATAGGTGAACATATGCCAATACAAGATGTTTGGGGGAAACCGTGTAAATTCAGCGGATGTGATGCTGCTCATCAAAATTAAAAAGCATGGAAGCATAGTTTTACCTCTTGTCTGCCAGAGACACCCTGTGCAAGCATGGCTTCCTGTTCAATATTGATCCACACAAACATCAACCAAGCCAACACGGGAGGGAACAAAGCCTCTGACCTGGGAGGGAGAAAACACATATTAGAAATTTTATAATATTATTATTAAAACTCAAGGTGTAATTCAACGTGTTAGTACAGCTGGAGGAAGTGTGTGTGTCCGTGTGTGTGTGTGTGTGTGTGTGTGTGGAACTGCTGGTCTTACCCAGTGCTGAGCAGCAGGTACGTTGCCGTGAGAGAGAGGAATATGCTGAGGAGGCGTTGGAAAAGACGCGTTGAGCTCAACAGCGGAACAATCATGGAAGACGCTGAGAAGAGACCAGAGACACGGTGAGATGTGCTGGAGGGGCACGTCACTGGTTAGTCGGGACGAGATCCATCTATGAGGATTATAACATCCCTATGAAATTCTATGCTGTAAATCTGAACCTACCTAATGTGCTCCAGCTGATGACCTGATTTAAAAGTGGCAGGCCCTGTTTCTGCTGAAGGCTGGAGTGTGTCAGCGATGGAACGTACGCACACACTGCCACATGGAGCAGCTAGTTTGCCAAACAAACAAAAAAAAATCATTCATTTTTAGGAAAGAAACAAACACAACTACAAACATCATGATGTGGCCTGTAGTTACCTGTGACACAAACTGCTGCCTGTCACTCAGGTGCATTGTTGTTCTCGGTCGTGATGACCAGAGGTAACAGGCGGAAGTGAAGAGACTGAGTACGCCTGCAAAGGTACTGAGCAAACAAACATCATATATGAAGTTATTATTAACAAACGTGTTTCCTGACACGCAGCCTCATTTTGCACGCACGTTGAATAAAGATGCTGCAGCTGATTGGCAGTCGATTTGATTGAGATTCTCTGACTCCTCGATTATGCATACCATACTAAGTTTGTCTTGTTTTGAAGTGGTTTTATGTCATAGTCGTTCTATTGCTCTGTGGGAAGCAAAATAGCGAAACCTTGTGGTGGACTGTCAAAGGAAATAAACACTCACACCAGATGAACGTTAGGCTCTCTGCCCACAACAGGCATCAGGGGGAAAGCAGCCAAACACAGGCAGCCGAGACACCAGCTCAATGAACGGAACTACAGGAGAGAGGGGGACATAATCAGCTACTGCATGTGATCTCAGCATTTAATTAGTCAAGACAGAAATTGCTACTGTGATCACGCTTCATATTTTAAGAAGCTCTGCCTTGCATTCACAAAACTTAACACCATGCCTGTTCTTTGTGTTTTAGTACTGTGACTGTGGAATCAGTGGTCCAATGCATAGTTACCTTGGCCTTGCCAAAGAGTCCCGACAGGAAGGGCCACAGCGAGAGGACAGCCAGGCCCACAGTTAGCATGGCGCGATGGAAGAAACTCGCCACCTGTGGGCAGAAAAGTGACACGGTCATCCGCGTTACCAAGCAACTTCTTCTGCTCACAATGAGCCCGGTACATTGTGAACACTTTGTAATGAGTACTGCACGCGGTGGACAATTCAAGGCTGCGCCAGCCTGCGAGAGCAGAACTATGAATCTGACCTTACACGAGAACACATTAGAGACTCCTACCAGTAGCTCGATCCCAAACGACACCAGCACGAAATAGCCGAAACACTTCCACAGTGGCAGAGAGGGAGCCGAGCGAAATAAATCGGTCAGAATTCCAGACCTGAAAAGGAATCGGTAATTAGGTTATTTTATTTCAGGGAGAAAAGACCGAAAAAAACGGCAGGGACTGTCCTTTCATCCATTTACAGAGGAGAACCGTGAATGGATACAAGACCACATCAAAAGGGATCAAAGTACCACCTCACTGATGCTGTGCCTGACATACACCAACTGTGTGTGTGTGTGAGCTAAATTACATCCAATGAAAAGCCGCTGTACTCGATTGCCATTGATGTGCTTTGATATTTGCTGACGTCCTGTGTCTGTGTGTAGTGATGCTCCACCACTCACAGAGAACATCATGCATGCCCTTTAAACATCAGTTTCTTTAGATTGTGACGTGCGGCTGTGTTCAATGTTGTTGTTTTTTAATTTGTTTCACGCTCTCTCTCGTGTGTGTGTGTGTGTGTGTGTGTGTAACTCACTCCTTCAGCACAGAGTACCACAAAGGGACAGGCAGCAGGCAGTAAACGTAGTAGGTAACGGGGCTCCTTTGGATGAGCAGGAACACAGTGATCACCACGGTCAGAGACAGAGACAGCCTCACCAAAGCATGGCTGGGAATCTGCACACATACACAGGATCAATGCCAATAATGTCATCTCAATCAATCATTCAAGTTCCAGAAACAGGTCAGGTAGGAAGGAATCTACACATGCAGATCAGGAGGGATCACAGTATATTCCCCGACCTGTTGGAGGACACTGGGGTTTCTGTTGAGGTTCGCATGAGTCTTCAGTATGACCAGGACTACATAGGAGGTCCAGCCTACAAATCCCAGCACCACACTGCAACCCAGAAAGAACCGGTCATAGGTGTGGTAGTAGGCCAGGCCCTCCAGAGCACGGGCTATGAGGGTCCGACAAAGGGCCATCTGACAAGAGGGAGGGGAGACAAAAACGGGCAACTTCAGCAATATCAAATGTAACCGAGAACATTAAACAGAAAAAGGAATCACGTTAAGAAAAAGCAAAGGTTAGTTCATATTAGACAGCATTTACCACATGATGCTGATGCTTAATGTGTTCGAGTAGTTCACTTTGATTCGCTTGGGCAGCTGTAAATGTACTTTTACAAATACTCACAGCATCTTCATACTTCTCCAGCTGAATCAGTATTCTAGCCGTGTTGATGAATTGTGATTGTTTTGACTCAGTCAGGTGTCTGGAAAACAGTGAGACAAAGCAATAAAGAATGCGTAAAATTGCCTTTGAAAGTGGTCTGAAATACGCTCACCGGAAAAGGAATACTTCAATGTTTCAACTGAAAATATTTCTGAGCACTGTTACTAACCACCGGAAAAAGATTCCTTTTAAAAAAAAAGTAAAACACACAGTAAAGAATGAATGTCATGTTACTAATTTGCAGCAAGTCATGAACGACCTGACGACCTGCTTGAATTTCAATCTCTCCTCTCCTCGTTCTCTGCCTCTATCTCTGCTGCCAAAAGCTCTTTCTACCAGTCCAAAATCGAATCCTCATTCTCTAACCCCAAAAAACTCTTCTCGATCTTCTCCAATCTCCTCGAACCTCCTACCCCTCCTCCCCCCTCCACCCTTCTTCCGGGAGACTTTGTCAACTACTTCACCAAGAAAATAGCTGACATACGCTCCTCCTTCTCAAACCCACCACCTACTTCTCGCGTCCCACCGACCTCACCTCTTTCGCCCTCACTTCCCTCTTTCACCGCCCTCTCTCCTAACCAAATTCTTACCCTAGTAACCTCTGCCCGTCTGACCACCTGCCCTCTTGACCCCATTCCATCACATCTTCTACAATCTATCGCACCTGACCTTCTTCCGTTCCTCACCTGTCTCATCAACAATGCTCTGTCATCTGGCTGTTTTCCCAATTCTCTGAAGGAGGCAAGAGTCAACCCTCTCCTGAAGAAACCCACCCTCAACCCTTCTGAAGAAAACAACTACAGACCGGTCTCTCTTCTTCCCTTCTTGTCCAAAACCCTTGAACGTGCTATCTTTAATCAACTCTCCTCTTATCTCCACTGTAACAACCTCCTTGACCCCCACCAGTCAGGTTTCAAGGCAGGCCACTCCACAGAGACTGCTCTCCTTGCTGTCTCTGAGCAACTCCACACTGCTAGAGCCGCCTCTCTCTCCTCTGTCCTCATCCTTCTGGACCTCTCTGCTGCATTTGACACGGTCAACCACCAGATCCTTATTTCCTCCCTTCAGGAACTTGGTGTCACAGGCTCTGCTCTCTCCCTTCTCTCGTCCTACCTCGATGGCCGCACCTACCGGGTAACCTGGCGAGGATCTGTGTCGGAACCGTGTCCTCTTACTACTGGAGTTCCTCAGGGTTCCGTGCTGGGTCCCCTCCTGTTTTCGCTTTACACCAACTCTCTTGGCGCTGTCATTCGCTCGCATGGCTTCTCTTACCACAGCTATGCCGATGACACCCAACTAATTCTCTCCTTCCCTCACTCGGACACCCAGGTGGCGGCTCGGATCTCTGCCTGTCTAACTGACATCTCTCAGTGGATGTCCGCCCACCATCTGAAAATCAACCCCGACAAGACTGAACTACTTCTCTTTCCCGGAAAAGATTCACTTACCCAGGACCTGACAGTCAACTTTGGGAACTCCGTACTAACGCCCACTTCGACTGCTAAGAACCTCGGCGTCACACTCGACAGCCAACTCTCCCTGACTCCCAACATCACTGCGACAACGCGATCCTGTAGATACACGCTCTACAACATCAGGAGAATACGTCCCCTTCTCACTCAGAAGGCAGCGCAGGTACTGATTCAGGCTCTTGTCATCTCTCGCCTGGTTTACTGCAACTCCCTCCTGGCTGGTCTCCCTGCTACCGCCATTCGACCTCTGCAGCTCATTCAGAATGCAGCAGCTCGACTGGTCTTCAACCTCCCGAAATTCTCCCACACTACTCCACTCCTCCGCTCTCTTCACTGGCTACCGGTGGCCGCCCGCATCCAGTTCAAAACACTGGTGCTCACGTACCATGCTGTGAATGGATCGGGTCCAGCTTACATCCAGGACATGGTCAAACCCTACATCCCAACCCGCACTCTCCGCTCTGCATCTGCAAAACTACTCGTCCCTCCCTCACTGAGAGCAAAACACTCGACTAGGTCTCGACTCTTCGCTGTCCTTGCGCCGAAATGGTGGAACGTGCTCTCTGAAGACATCAGGACCGCAGAGAGCCTTCACATCTTCCGCCGCAAACTAAAGACACACCTCTTCAGACTCTACCTCGACTAAAGACTAACAAATTGTAGCACTTAAATTGTACTTGTAACGTCACTCATCTATAGCAAATTGTAAATTGGCTTATTTGAGGAAATTGTACTTTCTTGTTTCTTGTTCTCCTGAGTTTGTACCCTATGGTTGAATGCACTTATTGTACGTCGCTTTGGATAAAAGCGTCAGCTAAATGACATGTAATGTAATGTAATGTAATGTAACTTAAAAATTGTACTTACTCGAATGGGGTGAAGAGAAAAGGCATGGTGGTCTCCTTTTTCTGGGTCATTTTTATCTACAAAAAAATAAATAAATTTAGAGCTCAGTCCTCAGAGATGTTTGTAACCAAATGAATGAATTATAAGATATGTGCAGCAAGAGCTGTATCACTATTGAAACATTAAAATGTCCAAGCTATAGCACAATTTATATTGTTATAAACCAGTAATATTGTGATCACGTTGTTCCTTAATGTTGTTACTTGTGATTTATTTAAGTTGAACAGTGAAGCTACAAGTGATTGTTTTCTTGGCCTTTTTGGAACACAAATAATTAACATGTAATTAACTTGAGATACTTTCATACCTTGTACTGCTCTAGTACTTGAATAGCATTAGTGTACATGCTTTCCGCCTTGAAGTGCTCACTGTTGTTAAGGTAGAGAAGAGGCAATATGCCCTGTAGAGACAGAAAATACATGTGTACAGTGAAGATGAAGATGTGTGAGGACATCATTTCAGTTACATTACTGATTGATACAAATCACACAACTATTTATCTTGACCTTATTTTATCACTGGACTTACAACGGAGTTAAGTGGGAAGGGGACGCCAATAAGAGAAGCCATGAGGGGCGCGATGTCTGCCTGCAGAAAACAATAAAAAAATATATAATTTACTAGTTGTTGTGGTACAATAACACCTTGTATAAATAAATCCACACACACAAACTATGTCATAACCTGATTGACGTCAACTCTTTGAAGATGCTCCAGTTTCCAATCTGAAAAACCGTACGCATTAAAAACCACAACTACTTTGAGAAAACATAGTTTAGACATAATAAACAAATGTCTTTAGTAGATGTAGGACTACCTGGCTGCTAGAGTTAAGCTAAATAAAACCTGTATTACAAGAGTCCACAACCTTGTAGGAAGCCGTCACTGTATGGTTGGGGTCCGGTGGCCCTGCGGGCGTTGTGGACTCCAGCTCCCCACGCCACTAAAGGAGTGAGGGTCTCTGACGGATGACCTGCACCGTGTGAACCTGGAGACACGTGCACACGCGTCGACAGATGGTATGAAAAGACTCCAGTGAAGACTTGTCTGTTTTCCATCGTATACAGACACACACTGAAATAAGAGTCTTACCCCAGTTCGTCATGCCATGATCGGAGGTAAAGACATAGGCCGTTCTACCATCATGACCAAAGAAGTCTTCCACCATAGACACCAGTTCGGCAACACCAGTGTCTACTAGGCCAATATTGTCTAGGTACTCCCTTGACAAAGGAGAGATGATGAAGATAAAAGAAATCAATGTTACTTGGTTCATTTCACTCTATGTCCTGCGGAGTGATGTAAAAACATCAATAAGTAGTATCAACGCGTCTCTCACTGTGACATCGGTCTGTGAGCGTGTCCGTTTGTGTCGATACCGAGCAGATGCAGGAAGAAGACGTTCTCATCCTGAAGCAGATTGGCCCTCAGGCTGGCGTTAGACTTCGCTGACTGAAAGAACGACTAGAGCAGGGAGGAAAATGAGCATAGTAACATTCATGCAAGATGGCAATGTGCAAACAGCATCGTTGGAATCATTGAATAGAAAGGTGGAAAACTAAAGCTTTTCTCAAGCAAAATGATCCAAAACCCCGAAAACCTATTCAGTACTTATTTAAAATGTATTTATTACAACATGCATTATTATAGTTGGTTATTCCACTACCATACTTTGACTTGAGTGAACACCCAGGTGTCGAGCCTGGAGGCATCTGTGGAAGCAAAGTCCTCCTCTTCTGCTGGATATGTGTGGGTATACACATGGTCTCCACTTGCACCTGCAAAACCCACAGCATTTAATGAGCCCCAATAGTAGGAATTTTAAAAGGACTTTTCAAAAATAATCAAAAAACATGTAAGGAGTACTTGTGAGGAATAAAATAAATGTGGATTGTTTATCCCGATTAGGTTTGGTGGTCCTGATTGTGTGGTTCACGTAACGGTCTGTGCATGTTTGCGTACCTTTAGCAAACATTGGCAAAATATCAGGGCTTCCCCAGCACCAGGTGTGTCGGGTCTCATTAAAGACCGAGTCGAACTCCACTGGATTCTCCTTCCACCCTAAAGACACAAAAACCGCTCAATGACCTTTCACTCACAAACAGACACTACAGCAGTCACCCATATTTTACACGGCCTATTGTGTATCAACACACACATACCTACCTTTAGCCACAGCACTAACGTCCTCATAGAAGCCAGCGATTAGAGCGACATGGCCGGGACGAGACTCGGTGGGGACGCGTGTGTGTGAAACACCCCATGTGCCCTTCTCCTCAATCACACTCCTGATATAGAGAAACACACGTGGATGTGCACATACAAACCAGTTACTCAGACCAGGAAAAACTATTAAAATCACAGTCATGGCAGACACATACACTTTTATTTGACTAAACTGGGCTAATTATTGCACGGCAAGCTCAAAGCTCACTGCTCCAGTTTCCAAACCTTAGGTACGGGGCCCTGGACGAGCCATTCGGGAGGAGCGTGAAGAAACTGTCAGCTCGAAGACCATCGGCCACCACTAACACCAGTCTGGACGAAGGCGGTGCCTGGGGGGTGGCGTGGGGTGTCATGCCATGGACCAGGGGAGAGGTGAAGTAGATGTCAAAGATGGAGAGGAAGAAGACCACGTGGACTATTAGTCCAACCAGGAGGAAGGTGATCATCCTCATTTTCCTCAGCGGGGCGAGCTAGGTCTGCAAAAGGGTGAAAAGAAAAGACGACTGAGGCAAATACAGACAAACATACATATCACAATATACAATTGTGGATTAAAAAGCTAGTACAAATGGAAAAAAAAGGAGGTATTAGAAAGGTTCAGCAATATATAGACGTGTTAAGCCATAGTTTGGGCAATGGAAAACAGCTTAATTGCTTAATCCTCCTGTCACCATATGCTACTAGCAAATGAGCAGAAGATGTGACTAAGAATGATTTCATTCCACTGGGGCCAGCAGACATTACACTGACGTAGAGAAGCAGGTACACCTGTTGGCATGGAAAGAGCATTACCTGTGACATGTCAACGAGGGTCCCTGGCTGGTTAATGTACGAGTGTGAGACCAGATCGATCCAAGTAGGTAACTACCCACTATTCGCCGGAATTAGTTTCCATTTGATCTTCGCAGTCGTCTAGAGAACCCGACGCGATTTGTTGCGCAAAACTAGATCAACGTAATCTTTAAATGCGTCCTACTACAAAATCAACCGCCCCTCCTTCTAAGGAGATTAGTGGAGGAATTGCAGGCACCATTCACTTCCTTGTTATGACTTTGACGTAGGCACGTTGACTTCTTCTTCTTCGTCTCTTTATTTAGGCGTTATACCTTGTAACTGAATTGTGGGTACTGTAGTTTAAAAAAACGCTCTTTCTACGTATATTTTCACATGGCTTTCTATTTTTTTTTAAATCACATGGAGTTCAAGCATCAAACTACAGTCTGCAGTGTTACAGTGCAGTTTCACTGGAAAATGTCATTTTTATATCACATATATTAGCTAGAATAGGCTGTATGAGCTGTCAAATGTGCCCTGCCCGGTTTTCTTTTCATTCTTACCATTATCCAATCATCTTCTACAATCCCATAAAAGAGGCGGGCTTTGGGCCAAATATGTCCAATCACACCTTCGCATTACCCCCCGTGCCAAAAGCCACCTATCATCGCTAGTTTGATGTCCATTCAGGAAGAAGTGGCTCTGACTAGCTCAGCTAGCTTAGATGGCTAAAAATCCTTTTAGTGCAAAAATGGCGTCGGTCAACCCGTTCAACCTCAGTGATTCTGAGGAGGAGGCTGATCGGCGACCCAATGAAACGGTTGACACGCAGAAAAGTCCCAGCGACGGGGCACCCGGGCCGTCGCCAGGTAATCCTTTCTCTCCACCTGCTGACACCGAGCCCCGGACACTTCTGCTGTCTAGCAACCGCACGAGCCCCAGCGGTGAGGGCTCGGGCTCGGGCTCGGGCTCGACCGCGGCCACCTCCGCTATGGCAGCCACCGCCGAGACACGGATATCTGTGGACGGTATCGCCGCTCAGCTAATACGGGACCAGTACATCCTTACGGCCCTGGAGTTTCACACGGAGCTCTTGGAAGCGGGCAGGGAGCTTCCGAGGCTGCGGGATTATTTCTCCAACCCTGGCAACTTCGAGCGTCAGAGCGGCACTCCGCCTGCCAAAGATCAGGTACTCGGACCCGGAGGACCAATGCGTAAGTAACGTTAACCGCTACCTGTGCTAGCCACGTAGCGGACGGCTAACTCCGTGTTTTAATGCGGCTGCATGTAGAGTTAGCCCACCGGCTAACTAACGCGATCGTATAACACTAGAGCCAATAGATGGTGAGATGACGCTATCCACCTTGCTGCACCTGCTCGGGCCCGCGGTCACTGAGCGGGTTCCGAGGGGCAGCTCGACTGACGTTGTCGTTACAGAAATGCGGGATCGTACGGTGACCGGAAAGTCTGCACATGCCATGCAAATTGTATTCACGGTCACAGCACGAGCCGCAACAAGCGAAGCCCGCTGTAGAGCTGCAGGAGAAGTGTTTCCATGAACTTTATCCCTCATCGACCGTTGTGCGTGTGGTTGGAATCTGCACGCAAAACGATTTGGAAATGTTGTGTTGCCTGTCACAGTTTTTATAGACTGGGTCATTTTTGGTCATTCATTTGAATAGTTTGAATCCTGTTGCCTCATACTTCTTATTTTCAATATATCCCATGACACAATACTGTGTTAGTAACTTTTTCTCCTTTGGCGAGATAAAGGGTTAGGGTTGGTGTGGTTCCATCCCTGCTGGAAAATTGCCAAATGTCTATACAATGAAAATATTGTGTGTATATGGTTTTTTATATATATATATATATATATATATATATATATATATATATACATGGTGAGAAAAAATAGGGACTTAATTTAAAGAGATATTTTGTCATTTACATGCAGTAGAAATGGACAAAAACTGGTGTGTCAGGAGTTGTGTGGGTCGAGGCCACTGTCCTATCCGGTTGGCTTCGGCACCCTGCCTGACCTGCACCCTGTAGAAAGCAAATGCATAGTCTGGCTTGTGCGTACAAACCCTGTAATAGTTTTTGAGAATGAAGCGTGACGTGACTCGACCGCTCCGCTGTTGTGAAACTCTCAGGTGTGTTCACGGAGAACCTTATTTCCCTCTTATTAGCTTGATGAGAGCGAAGGTTTAATGAAAATATCAAATCAGACAATGCTGATCATTCAAATCCACCCTCTGCAGATAAATGCATATGAAGCAGCTGATGGAAGTTGTTGACTGAGGAGGCGATGGACTTTTCCAGCATAATCCAGCCATGGCCTCATGTGATCACTAGAATACTAATTTTCCTGGTTTTTGAAGGATGGGAGATACGGTTGGAGATGGGGGGGGGGGGGGGGGATCAAATGCCTTTTGATGTAGTTGGTCAGCCAGGTTCTACTAGGATTTCACTGTCATTATTAACACATTCAATGCTTTGCTTTTTACTTAACGCCCAGCAGAGGAGCCAACCTCTGCCGTCAATGTATTGATTGCGTCGTAAACAAATTCGGGCCTGCATAATGTCACAGCATCGCAGGGAGCTGAAAGGACGATCGTATCGGGTATTTGGAAATGGTTTGGATTCTTCTGCTCATCTGATATTGTCCACACGGCCAGCGGCGGTCAGCTATTCACAGTCAATTGCAGTAAGCATGTGATTGGACAATGGCTGCGTTATAAGCAGCATCATATCTGCAGCTGCTCCAAGTCACATGACACAGCGAGGCACCTCTCAGCACCTTGCTAATTTGCAGCAAGTGAGCAGCAGTCCCCTTCTCCGTTGAGTAGTGTGGTTGCTGTTTGCTCTTTTTTTCTAAAAATGCAATGAGAATTTGAGCTCAAGTGTTATTTAAAGTGCAAGGTTGTCGGCAATACCAGAAAGTGTCGGCCTGAACACGAATCCAAAAGGCAAAGTGTAGCTCATCATCATCTGCTACGTGATATGTGTCATATTGTAGCTTCACATACACATTTCTGTGCTTGCTTGTGTGTTATCAATCTGTCTAGTGGCAGTGGAACTAATCTGAAATGTATCACCATTCCTGTCGGCTATTAACTGTAGTTTTAAACTACAACCATGTTCCAGGAGACAATAATGGCCAGTTCATGCAGAGGCTTACTGACTTTCATTGAATATATTATCGTTATCTTGAAATTGTCGGACAAACATCTGTGCAGGTTTTGGTGCATATGCATCCTTTAACACTGATTCCCTGTTGTCTTTATTTTGGAAGACACTGAGGATGTTTCCCCCCCCCGTTAAAGGAGCTCGTGGGCTTTGACCATCAATCGTCTCCTGTCGCCGCTTGTATCTGCTCTTTTTTGATCGCGGCCCTTTGTCCCCGAACCAAACTGTTGGCCATTTCCCGTTCACCATTTCATCTGCTTTGTTTTGTTACTTGCTGAAGAAGAAGAGCGTGTCCTTCATTGCGTTTGCCGCTACAATTGGTTTTCATAAGATTAGTATTTTTTAATACAAAACCCCCCAGCAAGGCAAAGAAGCTTATTTACAGTGTACTTTTATTCAGTGTACGAATAAAGTTCAAAGTGTGTGATTGTGAGTGTCACGTACTCCTGAGAGAGGGTGTGTGTGTGTGTGTGTGTCAAGTAAGAGATACTTGTTTTTCGTACATATTTAGGCACATATATGTGTGTGTGCATGCTCTTCCTCTTTGTGCAATTCCTAAAACCACTGCGCTCCACTAATTCAGCGTAGAGATTTCATCTTCATTCTCAGACATTATCAGGAATCGAGGACAGCGGGAGGCCCTCTCCTTTTGGATAAAAAGACGGGTTAACCTCACCTCTTAAAAGGCAGAGCAATGACACACAGACACACTCTCAGCCAATTCAGGAGCACAATCACTGTACAGTCAGATACGGGTTGCAACCAACGTTAGAACACATGACACACACAAGATGGTCGTCTCCATCTTGGCAGTGATAAAGCAGTCTTGTCTCGCGGCTTGTCCAAAAAAGGTGTGGTCGATGGAGCTGAGGTGGCCCGGGTGACACAGAGGTTTCAGGCAGCTAGTGACCTGGGCCCTCCTGGCACTCGATCTTAAGCCTAAATATCATTTAAATGGGCCTCTAGTGGCCATTCCAGGAACTGCTGCCTTTAGCAACTCTGCAGGCGCTTGGAATCGTCCCACTGAGACACAACACCGTACTCTCAGGTCAAGCCCAACAACACCAGGGTCACTAATGCATGACAACTAACTGAGACGAAGGCTTTTACATATTTTTACGTTCTTGTTTTAGTTGGGCTCAAAAACCTTGCTTGGCGTGACCTTCCACGGTATCCGAGGCAAAGAAGAACAAATAGTTCAATCTTGCACTTCGATATGGAGGGAAACTAACACCATTGGCTGAGGCACCAGGCCAACCTGACTGGGTGAAATAGGAGCGTGCATATATGCCTCTGTCTCCGCCTCCGCTCTTTGAGTGAGCAATGCCTACGCTGGTACAAGGTGTTGGTTTGGAAACGGGTGTAAGGGCTCCGCAAAGTGAACGTTTGACACATTTTATGATGGATTTGTTTTCCCCGCATGTGCAGTGACTCATGTTTTTTATAACCGTCCCACATTGTTTTCAAAAGGTATGAGCTGAATTCAAGAAAAGTTTCCACCTGTTGGCTGCTCACCATCCCCTAACTACAGGGGCCATGTGTTGGCCTGCTTTGGTAGTTAAGTGCCCCCCCCCCCCCCTCCCTGCTGTGGTGCCTATTTTGTATAGATAAACATCTTCAGCCTCAGTGTTCCTGTCCCATCGGTGAGCTGTGTTCGCTGCTCAACAGCGGAGTACTCGTCACGCCACGTGAAGTGCACGCTCGTCTCACCGTCGTCTCCGTCTTTGTGTCCTCTGCTCAGATCGAGCCGGCAGCATCAGCACCTTGGACTCGCTGGACTTCGCCCGTTACTCGGACGACGGCAACCGCGAGTCGGACGAGCGAGTGGCAGGTGAGATGAACCGCGCCCGCCGGAGCTCAAAGCGAGAGACCCGGCTGCAGGATTGGGAGAGGGGGGGGTTAATGACAGAATGGGGACGGGTTGGGGGAGACGATACGAGCCGCATCAAAGCCTGTGTGATAGTGATGTTGGGATAATGCAAGCCATCACGCAATTAAGATATGGATCTGACATTGGAACCGTGGCAATGGTGCATAGGAGCTGCTTTAGTGGTGATAACAAAGTCATGAGCAGAGGTTTGTCTCTTGAACACATCTGCAGTATTTTCCCACTGTTTACTAAAGGAAAGCCAACAGGTGAATGGCCTTTTAATGCAGACGGCCATTGCTGTCACGCAAGCACAGATCGTATTTTAGTATTTTTGTTTTCTTTCTTTGAGATTAGATTGTTTGTTTTTTTCCCACCTCCGTACTGTACATCAATTCCAAGCATGAAAAGCGTGTCTTCCCGTTTTGTACATTTTCATTTACATGTCTATGAATGATAGATGTCCCTAAATGTGTGTTTTAAAGTGGTAGGTTTGTTAGGTTGCTTATGGTTTGAGGCTTTTGACAGTCTATGGGAACATACTGACACACGGTAACACGTTTGGAACCACGCAGCAGAGATGCTGGTTACATGCTCCCTCCCACCTACCAAATAACAAGAAATCGTTTTTTTTATTCACCAAATTGGCACCGTCCCACTTTTCTCCCCCCCACACTGTTCCTCTTGCCAAGAGGTCGGCCTCCAGCTGTCTGACTCTGAGGTTTTTCTGGCTTTCACCTGACGTTGATCAAACCCCAGTGACCAATACTGGACAAGTCACTCCATCCAGACTAGCTTTTTGCTTCTTTCTTTTTTTTCTTTAATTAATCCTCCTGATTCAGTTCTTGGTTTTCCATTCGTTGCGCTTGCATCCTGTGCACTCTTTTGCCCCCGTCCGTCTAGCAGGATAAGGATGTAGGGAGAGTGGGGGGGATTTGGTCATAAAAGTCTGTCTTAATGTGATGCTGGCCTTTCACTTTCCTAGAATATAGTATTTTTTTAAAGTTCTGGAAACTGAAAGTTTTTGTAGCATTCTGCACTTTCCATACTGCAACGTTAAGAACGAAACCTTCATATAAGGACAGATTTGGGGAGGTCAACCGGATCACATCACAGGGCCGATTCTCAGTGCACAGCGAATGCAACGCAGTTTTCCTGCTCCATCGCTTTTTTTTTTTTTTTGCGTGTGTTTTTTATAATCTAATGTGTTGAAGATCATTGTGTGTTCTCTTTCTTTAGTGGGTGATAGTTTGGCCAAATTGTCCAAATCCAAAATCCAAATATTTGCTGCCTCTTATTTGTATAAGACGGCTTGCTCATTTTATTGTGAATTATTTTCTTTCTTTTGCAGTAACACACCGTGTTCCAAATTACATTTTGAATCTTGAGTTTTAACCCCTACCCCCCCCTCCCCCATTGGGTGAATTATCACGGCCTACTTTTGGCTAAGATGAAGTAACAACCTCTTAGCAGTGCTTGAAACCAAATAGTTAATTACTCCGTCAGACAGCTCCGAGGCTACATTCAGGTAGCGCGAGTAGATTTGTTCTCCTCGGCTACACACACACTCGTCAAACAGGCCATCATCGAGCCGGCTTCCCATGATCCTCTGCTGCATGCGTTCCTTCGTGCCATAACTTGCATGAACCCCCTTTTTTTTTTGTTTTGTTTGATGACTCTTACAATCTTTTGTGTGGTTGATTTTGTTTTTCATGTCCATCTTTCTTTTTATTTGTTTGTTTCCTGTCTTCGGTTGGATGCATTTCCTGTGTGTGCGTGTGTGCGTGCGTGCGTGTGTGTGTGTGTCTGTTGTCACTTCCTGTCCAGTGCTGGAGTTTGAGCTACGGAAGGCAAAGGAGACCATTCAGGCTCTGCGCGCCAACTTGACTCAGGCAGCAGGTGTGGCGGACTTTTAACTTCTTCTCCACCTGAACCCTCTTTTGTTACAGCTTTTTACTCTATATCTTTTTTTTTTCTGAGGGAATTCCATTAGATGACTAACGCTCAGCATCCTTTCGAAACTCATCTAAAATCTTCTCAATTTCTCAGAGAGCGAAGGTCCCTCTCAGGAGAGAAAAAACTTCAAGTCAAGTCCTGAGATTCAGGTGGGAAATCTTTGACTGTTGAGGATTAAAAGACTTTTTAAAAATGTGTTCCTTTACACCCTGTGATGATGTCACTGCTAGACTTTGTCTCACAATTTCTCTGCCCTCTCTGCCTCAGGAGCCCATACGCCCGCTGGAGAAAAGAGCTTTGAACTTCCTTGTAAACGAGTATTTATTAAAAAACGAATGCAAGCTCTCGTCCATCACCTTCTCTGATGAAAATGATGATCAGGTAAACCGTTTCACATCAAATTACTTTATTACTGCTTCTTAATAAAAAGCATATTAGGAGGCATCTGACTGGTGAGCATTAGGACACATAAATAACTCATCAGCTGACCAGTTCGCCTGCATCAGTTCCTGCTTTGTCCCTGCAGAAGCCCAAAACCCGTCTGCCACGAGCCGTTTACAGCCGTTGTCTTTAATGCATTTGCAGGACTTTGAGCTGTGGGATGATGTCGGCCTCAACACCCCGAAACCCCCCGACCTGTTAATGCTGTACAGAAACTGTGGAGCCCCTCTCCCTTCTCCTCAGGACATGGTTAACGTGTCCGTAGGGGTGGAGTTTGCTGATCTTCCGGGAAACTGCACGGCCCAAGAGCCCCCCAAGAAGCTTGACCTCTCGCATCAGGTCGGTGTCTAATGTGTTATTTCGTATTGCACATTTCAACAACAAGGGAATTAAAAGTGCTTCACACGAATAAAGGCAAAAGAAAAGGCAATTCAGGGAGTCCCACAAGCTGTACCGTCCATCCATCAGTGTTGGATTTTTGGCTTTGCTGTATTTTGCTTTTGGCTGCATCAGGAGCTTTGCGTTTTCAAAATTGTCGCTATTCTGTGGCAGTGATGGACCTTGCAAACAGCCCCTTTTTGCTCCTTCTTTTACTGAAAATGTGCATTCACGCGCTTTTCGAGGGACGGCAGCCGTGTCCCATGAAGGTCAATTTCTTTGAGTCGTTGCTGCACAAAGTACAGGAGGCGGCCTACTGAGTGTGAATGATAATGATGAAAAACTGAATTGCCCTTTCTACATTCAAATGGCTGTGGAAGTAAATGGCACGTTATTATATTTAAATAAAGATATCATCAATTCATGAGGTGACCTTTTAGAGAACACACCCTTCAGCTGGTGCAATAAAGTCATTTTTTTTTTTGTCCCTCCGTAGCAGCAGAAAGAAGTCATCCAAGAGTTGGAATACCAGATAAGTCTCCTCAACAATGAGAAGCAGAGCCTGGCTGAGCAGATGAAGAAACTGCAGAGGTGTGTGTGCCTGAGTGCATGTTTCTGCTGATATACATCAGTCACAATGCAAAAAAATACTAAGCCACTGCCTGGAGTTGCGCATGTGTCTTATACGTACGTGTCCTTGTATGTCAGAATACTATTTTACTGACAGTTAAAATATTTATTTATTTGTTGTTTATTTAACAGTCGTATGCCATTACAAGTGGAACATTTAGCAGTACCACCACGGGGAAAAAAATAGAATCATGTATATATGTATTCTTCAGTACACTTTATTACCATAACTGAGACCAAAACCGCCCATGAGGTAGAAAATCCTTTGTGGAAATCATGAATGCATGAAATAATAAGATTCAGAAAGATTGGCTTTACCGCTGTCCAAAATTCTTGTGGCATTTTTACAGAACAGTTTTACTGCTACTTTTGGATGGAAGACGTATTGACGCTCTTCTTCACTGCTGGGAGTTATCTGGATTTTCTGATGGTGTCCTTACATGTCGTCTTTTCTCCAATCCACAGTGAGATTCAGACCCTGAAGCGGACCGTGTCCTCTCCACTTCCAGCCACTCTGGACATGGGCTCCCACCATACATCCAACACCGCCGCCTCCTCCTCATCCATCACCACCACCACCTCCAACACAACTTCCTCCTCCAACCCCCTCTCTGTGGTAGCTGATCAATTTGATATTCATGCTGATTCTACCAGTGTCCTGCCGTTTTCTTTCATGTAGTTTAACATAGGCCCGACATTTGACCCATTCATTCTAACATTCTCTTGTGTTACCCTCAGTCTTCTACCGATAACAACCAGTATCTGGACATCCGGGGGGTTTCAGAGCCTGAAACCGTTACACACCCACAGTCCCTTAATACGCTGAAGAGTCGGCCTCCTGTCCAGTTTGCTCAACCTAACCGGTAAGTCCTGAAGAAGTCTGTGGGAACTCACAAACTAGACACAATAAAAAATATCAGCAATGAGGTGTTTGTCGATGTTGCCTGTTACATCGTAGAAACAATAAATTAGAACCTCTAAATCAGGTTTTCAGATGGTATTTGAAAGACTAGAGACACACAAATCACAATGAAATGCTGTTTACTCATTACCTTTCACTGTAGTTACTGAATGTCACCACTAGATGAGGGTAGTTATCTGCCTTTGCAGCCAGAATGGATGGACTATTACATCAGCACTTACTGGCAATGTGCTGCCCTCTTTGGTAAAAATGTAACTCAACGAAAGAACTTTTGATTCTTGGCCACGTACAAACATTTCTTACCACTATCCTACCTGTGCTGTAGTATATTTAGTGCACCCACATCTAACGAAGCATCCGGTAAATTGAGTACTGTGTTTCCTGTATACCTTTTTTTATACTCCGTTCCAAAAATTTAGCGGCAAAATTCAGTTAGTCAGCACAGGTGCTGGTGTACCGAGGCGACTGCTAAGAAACCCTTTATGCTTACATCTCTCTCTCTCTCTCTTTAGAGTAACGTACCTGTGAATATTACAACAAGAAGTCTTGTGTCTCAAGGGGTTATGCCAACTAAACCAGGCCAAACTCCACAGCTCTTGTGGAGTACAGATCAAGTGGTGCAGCAGAGCAGGGTGACTGTTATTTGCTCTCTTTCCTTTTCCTTTTTCCGTGGTGGTGTTGCAGAAAGCTGTCCCCGGCCTTCCAGCAAGCCCTGCTGTCCTTCTGCCGAACGTGCTCCGACAGCCGCCTGGGAGCAGAGGTCGGCACATTTTGAACGAAGACGGGTGCTTTTGTGATCACTTGGCGTACAGTGCATGACGGCCCTCTCACTTCCAGGTGTCTCGTATAGCAGACAGCGAGGAGAGTGTGTTGTTGATGCTGGGCCGCTGCCTCCCTCACATCGTCCCGAATGTGCTTCTTGCTAAACGAGAGGTAAAGCCCACTACTGCTACTGTCGCTGCTCCTCCTCCTCCTCCATTATTGTCATCATTGCAGGACTCCTGCACAATCCAATAGATACACACACACAGCAGCAGTGCAAAGCGAGGTGGAAATCTAAGGGAAGCTGTAGAGTGGACGGTCACCTTCAGCTGGTGAAAATTCCCATCCAAACAATATCTTCTTAGATTTTCTCTGCTGGTGAGTCACCCTATTTTCCGACCCCTTTCGTGAGAAAAATGTAGTGTGGTTTGCTTTGGAAGAACACCACCCTGTCCTTGGTTTGTGCCACAAGGAACTCCCAAAATCTAACTAAGATCCAATGTAGTGTTCCACAGCATGGAGATGCGCCAAGTGTTTTTGTGGCAGTGGTCTCCAAAGTGTCATACATTCATACTGAAGCATCAAATCTTATGTGCTAATGCTTCACTTAGCATCTTTCTCCTTCAGAATCAGAAGCCATTTATCGCCACACAAGAATTAACGACCAATATCCAAAAGCGCTCATTCAGACATTTGCAGTGCCAATTGTAGACCTTCCAACCTGTAAACACCCAGCTGCTTGTGTCTATCCATTGATTGGGAATTTCACCTTCTTTTTATGATGTTAACTCCGGTGCCATCATCATCTCTGCTCTGCTCTATTTGTCCTCCACTCATGTATGCTGTCCTTTTTGCCTCCACTGGGTTTTTATTTCGTCTCACTCATTCTCTCACTCTCACGCATGCCTCTCTTCTAGAGAATGGTTGCACATCTTTGCCAGGTGAGTCTTTCACGCACTCATCTGCACGGTTCTCTAACGATTTGTAGGCCCAAAGACGCGTCATTTGTGTCCTCCTGTTGGCTACACCTGCTGCCCCACAGTCAAACTTGCCATAACTATTCAATTTTTATTTATAAGCACTGTAGCACTGACAGTTTATTTAAGAGGCTTCCTTGCATTTTCTTAACAGGAAATATCAAAATGCATTTGTACCCACAATATTAACTGATATGCAAAGATGGCTTATGGCATGCAGTTTTAACCTAACAGTAGGTGGGTCATGTAATGTGTGCATTTATTTATCTGCTGTGGGGTGATTTTGATTAATCTCGTAACGTTCCCTAGTATAGAGCTAAATCCAGGTCAAAAGTTTTGTTAATTTGAAAAACAATCTGTTTTGTTGTTGAACATTGAAAAATATAACAATGTATTCAAAATAAAAATAAATAAAACAATATTTTCGGGGGCGGCACGCTGGCGTGGTGGTTAGCACTGTTGCCTCACAGCAAGAAGGTCCTGGGTTCGATTCCGCCCAGTGGCCTTTCTGTGTGGAGTCTGCATGTTCTCCCCGTGTCTGCGTGGGTTCTCTCTGTGTTCTCCGGCTTCCTCCCACAGTCCAAAGACATGCTCTGGGGATCAGGTTAATTGGGGACTTTAAATTACCCGTAGATGTGTGAATGTGAGTGTGAATGGTTGTATGTCTCTGTGTAGCCCTGCGACCAATCCAGGATGTACCCTGTCTATCGCCGGAAGTTGGCCGGGATGGACTCCAGCCCCCCCGCGACCCTGTGTGCAGGATAAGCGGTTTGACAATGGATGGATGGATATTTTCGGGTTTATTAAAAGAAAATCTAGAGCTGAGAAAACTATATTCAAACCGAAAATATTTTTCGTGCACTTATTTTTATTTTGAATACATTGTTGTATTTTTCAAATGTATGCACATTTGCAGGTTCACATTTGTTTTTCAGATGAACAAAACTTTTGACCTGGATTTGACTCCATACCCTAGCACCTATTTTTTAACCAGCTTATTTCATATTCTTATATTTAAATCAAACCAAAGAAAGGTGTTTTTTTTTGGCCCATGACCTGAGGCCTGCAGGGCCTTCCATCTAACTAAAGGTAAAACAGCATTTATTTCTTTTTAATAGCTGGCAGCCAACATTTTTGCTTTTGTTTTCATGAGTTAATTTTCTATGACGAGAGAAGGAAAGTAGATAAAAGGATTGTGCATTTACAAGTGAGCACTCCCTCCAAGTAGTAAGGCAAACACCTGCACAGGTGTTTTTGGTCCAAACAGAACTGCTTGCATGCCCTTTGTGTCGATGTGTTTCCACGTGTGCACAAATACTACAGGCTTGAATTTTGCACACATTGAATTGAAACCCGATAAGGCGCAAAATGTGTTTTTTGTTTTTTTTAAAAAGAGGTAAGTCTGGTCGGAGTGGTTCCCAGCCGGGCTGCTTTGCATATGACGGTGGTTATGTTATGTTCAAACTTTGACAGTTAAGGAGAACTTAATCTCTTTGCAAAATCAGAATAAAAACAAACCGGGGGAGAGGATGACAAAGATTAAAACACAGCGCATTTAGGCTTCCAGGTCTGAGTGGTGTGGACTTTGTTCTATGTCCGTTAGATCCGCCGACCGTGACATTGAGTACACACACACACACACACACACACACACACAGCTGCTCACACTTCCATCTTGCAACTTAAGGCTTTCTTACCAGCACAAGCAGGAGAGGAGGCACGCCTTTTAGTCGTCTGAATGTGACACCCACTGGAGAACAAAAGGTGTTTGACTTGAAACGGTGGAATGATGCTTTAAAACTGTGCTTGCCATCTGGCTGCAATATCAGACTCTGTTAATCATTCAACTTTTTTTATTTATTTTGTATTTCCTGTGTTACATTGTAGCATCTTGCTTGTATTATCCTTTTCCCACTCCGGTAAAAGCTTGTTTTGAGGTGTTTACACCTATTACTTCTATACTATTTTCTTTATCCAATTTAAGACACAGTAGAGGATCTCAGCAAAGGTCATGTGGTTTCACCATGAGGAGAGTAAATGTATCCTGAAAGGGTTGACTTTTTGTTCTCCATATTGACTTTAATGTTTAACGAACTACTGTAAAGACAAAGAAGAGGTTTATTATGGCTGTTACAAGAATTATTTAGGAGTTATTACTTATTTACATGTTGCTGTTTGTACTCAAAGTACGGTTTGTCTAATAAAGCAGTAAAAAATCAGAATGGATTAAAAAAATAAATATAAATATATATTCTAAACCATTGTGAAGCATAAATAGACAATAAATACATTTCTTCAGCGAGAGGTACAGGCCATCTTTCTCCTGGCTTCTTTTTTTGCCATTTTTTATATCAAGAACTTAACATACATAAACATGCATTATTAGGCATATGTGTGGACAGTTAGTAGATAGTTGTATCTGCAAATCTCCTGTGCTTTTATTTTCTATTGAATGTTATTTGATTATTCAAATGTGGTGCAGTTTCAAAAGAAATCACGGTTCAAAAAGGTCTTCAGAGGACGATTCTTGTGGGAAACGGGCAACGTCCGGATGCGGCACAGAGTCGTCCTTTCACTGGAATGCGCAGCGGCTCGGCTGTTTTAGAGTAACGCGTCCAGCCTCGGAGGTGCTGGCGTCGTGCTGTCCGCTCCACCTGCCCACCATGTTGATCCAGGACCGGTCCGATGTGTAACCTTCTGAAAGAGTCCTCACATCCATCACATGCGAGTTGACACGGAAAGCGAACGGGGATCAGCGTGGGTTTCCTGGCATTTTCAGATGTGTGCTGAGGTTCTTTTTCTGTTTTTATCAGGCCGGTGCCAACGTCTCGCGAGAAGAAGTGTGGTACTTTCAGAGGCCGAGGCTTATGAGTCTTATGGAACGTAACGTTAAATTACCCTGAATGCGGTTCGTTTGCCGGTTTTTCGCACTTGAACTGATCACTCAAATTGAACTCGTCTGGGTCCGTTCACCGGTCCAGCGTTGGGGTTTTACTCGCTCTTCCAGCACTTGGCAGGAAACCATGATATCTTCTTGGGGGAGAAAAAAAATGAAAGTTAGAAAAACTCTATATTTTTAACTGTGTATACACTCTTTAATTTGTGTGTGTGTGTGTGTGTGTGTTGCTGAAATTCAGGGCGGACCACAATTTGGCCATAGAGGCCCTGTGTCAAGGGCAGGAAAGTCCATAAACTCTATCTGAACTCTGGCATAGATACGCGTTGTAGTAGGAGAAACTCAAGCAGCATGTATAGACCCGTTCAGCGCCATTCGGTTTCCAGGCTACAGCGCCGATCCAAACCATTCCGGGCAGCTACTGCACTCACAAACATTTGTTCAGAAAAAGGTCTATGTGTGTGTCTGTCTTAATGCAGCTGTGTCTGGGTGTGTGCATGCACTTTGTAAGTTTCTACAGTACATGGCTCCAACTGTATGTATGTATGTGTGTGTGACTCAAACCAAATGAGTCGTGGTGTAACACCAACGTGGCATTGAAGGTAAGTCGTTTTCTCTGGTGTTAACGGACTCGTGTTGGTTTGAAACGTGTTTCTACCTCTTGACTTTCCCGTATTCTCTCCTCCTTTTTTGATCAACCCTTTCTCCCCACCCTCCTCCCCCCCTCCATAGACGTCTAGACCTGCTTGGCCACAGACCATCCTTTCCCCTTGTGTGTTTGTAACCGCGCTCTCCTATTTAAAGTCATGTGAACGGATGCCACTTCTCTCATCAGGAGTTGATCCCACTCATCCTGTGTACCGCCTGCCTTCACCCGGAGCCTAAAGAGAGGGACCAGCTCCTCCACATCCTCTTCAACCTAATCAAGAGACCCGATGATGAGCAGAGGTGTGTGTGCGTGTGTGCGTGTGTGTGTGTGTGTGTGTGTTTGTGTCCGTAGACCGAGCGACTTGATGAATGATGATCGCAGACTTGATGATGATGGCAGAGATGCCATCGTTTATTCGCACTATATGACTTTCTCCCAATGTTGTGTTTCCAAAAGACAAATGATCTTGACGGGGTGTGTCGCGTTCGCGAGGCACGTGGGTCCCACGCGCGTCGAGGCCGAGCTACTTCCTCAGTGCTGGGAACAGGTACAGGAAACCCTCCTTATTACATTACATGTCATTTAGCCGACGCTTGTATCCAATGCGCTATATGTGATAGCAGCGCTGCTTTCATTGACGCTTTTCACCGCACACATTTATGGCAACCAAAGCTCCCAGACGTTTGGAGGCTGAGAATTTGCCAATAGCGGTTTCCACAGGGTCAGCATGTTTATGATACGTTCTACCGTGGCTGCCCTCCAGTCTGCTACTTTCCTCTTTTCAACTACTGCTCCTGCATTTTTTTTTTTGAAAACGTTTTCCTCTAAATATTTCTCTCTTCTTCTGCAGATTAACCACAAATATCCAGAGAGGAGATTGTTAGTGGCAGAGTCCTGTGGAGCCTTAGCACCGTACCTGCCTGTAAGAACATATTATGCACACACACAGATTTGATTTAATTTGACTTGAATAAGAGAATACGATCTGAAGGCATCGGCTCTGTCTTTGCAGAAAGAGATCCGTAGCTCCTTGGTGTTGTCCATGCTGCAGCAGATGCTCGCTGAGGATAAGGCTGACATGGTCAGAGAGGCTGTGATCAAGAGTCTGGGTATCATCATGGGCTACATAGATGATTCTGACAAGTACTCCCAGGTAGGTGTGTCGTATGTATGTAATACAACGTGTTATGCTTTGGTTTTCTCATGTACAACAGTAAAATATTGAAACAGCCTTGGGGTTAAATCCGTATGCACATCCTCGTGTGTGTGTGTGTGTGTGTGTGTGTGTGTGTGTGTGTGTCTTCGTGTGTGTCTTCCAGGGTTTTGAGCTGATGCTGCTGTCACTCGGGGACCCATCAGAGAGGGTGGTCGGTGCAGTCCACCAAGTCTTCATTCCTGCCTTTGCTGCCTGGACAACGGAGCTGGGCACCCTGCAATCCTCCCTCATCCCCTCGCTGTTGGCCCGTATAGAGAAGCTACTTATGGTAATTGCCTGTGTGCACGTAACTACTACATAGTTGGGCTTAAAACCTCCTCTTGAGTTGGTGGAGCCGAAGACGTACACATGATGCACAGGGTTTGTTCGAGAGTTGTAATGGAAATGTGCCAGAATGCTCTCATTTATTTGGATAAACAGTGAAAGGAACAATCCAATGCTACAGATGTGTGCTTTTTGAATATGAGTATCGTATCCTATGGAGAACTGATGGACCCGCCATATGGGCAGCCTCGTTTGAGTAGAACGGGTCCTCCGTAAAGTTGTGTTGGCGGTGCATTACATGCATCTGTAGAGACCGCCTCATTCCCAAGCAGCAGTTCTCTGCACCACACAAACAAAAGAAAGCCACTTTAGCTTCTCTTTTCTCTTCTCTACTATTTCTGTAGCAAGGAGAACATGTTCTGGATGAACACAAGTTACACATGTTCCTGTCGGGCCTGCAGTCTCTCATCCCGCCGCTGTTTGCTGTGGTGCTGCAGAACGCACCCTTCACCAGCAGGGCCAAACTCAACGGAGAGATACCTACAATAGAGGGTAGGAAAACCACACACACACACACACACACACACAGGTCAAATGCAGAAGTAGTGACTCTTAAAGCAGTTAGTTTTTACATTTGGTTCCTTGTGCCTGCTGGTAGTGACCCGGTTCCCGAGGCCAGCATCTCCCCTCCAGGACGTGGCGACCATCATCGGCAGCAGAGAGATGCTGAGTGCCCTGCTGCTACTCTACGACTACCAGCTGGAGCACGAAGGAACCACTGGCTGGGACAGCCTGCTCTGGGTGGTCAACCAACTGTGAGAAATACACCCCCCCCTCCCCCCCCCTCCCCCCCCCACACACACACACACACACGTAGTGTGTCATGTGAGTCATATATGTATAGAGACAGCGTTGTACATGGCATCACCAAAGCTTACACAAACTGGTTTTCTTCTCGTCTGCTGTCTCCAGCCTTCCGCAGCTCATAGAGATTGTTGGTCGCATCAACGTGACGTCATCGACCTGCGTGCATGAGTTCTCTCGCTTCTTCTGGAGGCTCTGTCGCACCTTCGGCAAGATTTTTACCAACACTAAGGTAAAAACATGTGACTCATAGTGCTTCCACAACACTGTTATATAAGGTTTGAGTGGTTTTTATATGTTCAGCTTATCTCAACTTAAAGCTCCCGTAATTCCTTGATCTATTGACTATGAATAAGTTGAGTGGTTGTTACCTAATGAGAACTGTTCACCTATTAAATAATACGTTGAAGCAAATATTATATATATTATAATTACGAATGTAGTGATGACATTTTTTTCCCATTCCCCCCTCAGGTTAAACCACAGTTCCAAGAGATCCTGCGATTATCTGAAGAGAATGTTGGTGAGGGCAGATTAAACCTGCACAAACACACCTTTGTTTTTTCTTGTGAGATTTTCTCAGCTCTCCCCTGAGAATGTTGGTAGGTGGAGTTCAAGCACAGACACTGTTGGTGTACACAAGCTATTCGGAGTCAGCTAAACGAACAATTATGTAGTTGTATGCGCAGTGCAATGCACCTGACCTCAGCATGTCATATTTAAATGTACATTGGTTTCTTTTTTTAATTCCGCTGATGTAATAGTGAACAGACATTTTACAACTATTTCAGTCTAGTTTCATTCTTCTTGTCAGATACTTCAACCGGGAATGATATTCTCACCAAAGCTACAGTGCCCATCTATGCCACTGGAGTGCTGACTTGTTATAACCAGGTAAGCAAATAGCGGGCCACTTGGGAATAGTGGCGGACGGGATGTGGAGAGTCATACAGTACCTTGTGGTACTCTACGCTGACTCGCAGGAGAAATCTGTAAACAGGCAATGAGCCATGGATTTTCTCTTATAGTTAGTTTACATGTGGAGGCATTTTGGCCCTTATTCTTTAGTGTATGTTATATTACAGATTGTGAACCACAGTACATTTTGGGTAATTGTTTTTTAACACAAGGGAAATACCAATGTATTTGTTTCTATGTTTCTATTTTGATAAAATGATGCTGTACTTACAAATACACTGTGTACACGTTCTCCATTTTGATTAAAATGTTAACACGTTAACTAAACATCAGAAAATCCCATTTCAACTTATACTAAAAGGGTAAAAAGATATTTGCGGTCCCAAAATACTTTTATGAATCTGTAGACCTTTAGCACACGTGTACATATCAAAATGTCAACTTGAATATTTTTGCCGCCGACGTGATGTAACTGATGAGCATTTTATAATTTATTTGAAGGACGAGGATCGCAAGTTGTTGGTGGGTTTCCTGGAGGATGTCATGACAACCCTGTCTCTGTCCCATGCGCCTCTTGACAGCCTGAAGGCCGCCTTTGTAGAGCTGGGGTGAGACAAAAAAAAGAACGGTTTCATTTTAAGAGCTCCTTTAGGATCTAATATTACCACACAACTATGTGTATGAAATCACAAACATGATGCTGACCCTCATTCAAGCAGGTTCATTCTAGTGGCTCATATGGTAACTGGGTCAGCAAGCGATTCAATGAAAACTATCACAGATGATTTCAAATGATGCTGGTTAAGATTGCATCCCGCTAGAGTACTGGAAGTGCTCGTGAGCGTGAATTGATGCAATATGGCAGAGAAAAAAAACTCGATGTCCAAACTTCCCTTACCTGCACCACACTTTCTCTTACAGTCCAGGTAATGAAATGACATCACAGCAGCAGATTGATTGCTTTGCATCTGTGTCACAAAACACACACATTTTCTTCTTTCTGGCCAAATTGTTGCAGTGCGGTTGTCGAAATATACTCGGTTGCCACGATAGTCTACCTAGTATTCATCTTATGCTCTCTTTCAGCGCCAACCCAGTGTACCACGAGTTGCTGCTCACTGTGCTGTGGTACGGGGTGGTCCATACCTCTGCACTGGTCCGCTGTACTGCAGCACGGATGTTTGAGGTAGAAGAAACACACATAATCATAGTTGCTTGGATTTTCATATTGTTATCACACGTTACAACTATAAATAATACATACAATATATTTTAGTGTTCAGATGTTTTTGTTGCCTATGTGTAAATTCAGGCTTCTGTTAAAATAAACGATCCATTCCAAGTTAAATCATACACACTGTATTATTAAGCTATGATTGTCATAAACACATGTTGCCATCCTACACCATATATTCTATATTTATGCTCACCTATTTGTTGTACATGTGCTAGCTCTGCTTGCTATTGCTGCTGTTTAACATGCATCTAATATCTGGCTACTTATGAGTGCTAAAGAAGCTTCTAAGCGACCCTGGTTCGAACTGAATACTCAGACCCTCGTAGAGTTAGAAGACCGGTCACTGTGCACGGGTCTCACAACGGACTAAAAAAATCTGCTGCGTGTCAGAGAAAGGCTGAAGTCAGCAACCTGAAAGTTGAGTTGCGAGAGTCCAAGCTCTGTTCCTTCTCAATGTTGTTGGAAATAATAATACGACCAGACTTTTTTTTTTTACTTCTTCAGTATTTCCAGTCTTATTGAAATATAATACGTCCACTGTGTTGTGTGGCCTAAACCGCGTCAGTCCTTTGAGACCTGTGCACACTTTAGGTCAAATATCAGAACGAGGATCTCTGTACGGCAGTAGATCTAGGCCTATCTTGATCTAAACTTGGGGGAGGAGGAGTGCTAGGCTGTATTCATGTCACACCCGCACCGCCCCCCCCTCCTTGTTTTGTGGGGTACTCACCCTTTCCCAACCCATCCCTCTGCAACCATTCCATAGTGAATAGCTGTCCACCATTGCCAAAACTGTGGGTACATATTTGGTCATCTACCACAGATCCCAGATCAGATTTGTTTACTTTCAACTGTTTTATCAATTTGACCTGAATTAAATAATAAACTGACCTGGAGTCTGTGGGAAGAGCCCACAGCTTTATGCTCACCATACTGTGAAGGTATTTGTGTAGTTTAGTTATGTTGGCTTTGTCCTTCCTTTTGCATACACGCGTGTGCATGTGTGTGTGTGTGCGCGTGTGTGTATTTGTTTCTGTGTGTGAGTGCGTGTGTGTGCGCGTGTCTGTGTGTACACACACTTGCTTGATATATGCAGTGCCGTTCCGTGCCTTGCAGCTCAGTTCTTGTCATTGTATATCACTTTCTTCCTATCTTTTTGTGTTTCTTTTTTCCTTTCCCCTCTTCTGTTTTGCTTCCTTTTTTGTTATTTTTTTTTCCTCTCTATCTATTGGCGGTGTTGCTCGCTCTTGTCCCAATGCCCCGCCCACCCCTGTGACATCACGGCTGGTTCTGTCCAACCCGATCAGCTGCTGGTGAAGGGGGTGAATGAGACGCTGGTAGCTCAGAGAGTGGTGCCGGCTCTCATCACACTGTCCTCCGACCCTGAAATGTAAGTTTAACAGCAACAACAACAACAACAACAGTAAACCGTGCCGCGTCTCTCCCCCCTTCTCTTTGCCGCCTGAGAACTATCACACTGAATCAAGTTTGTACCTGCCAGGAGCAAATCCAGCACATAAACAATTTCTCGGAACTCTTTATTTGATAAATAATTCATTTAATTTGAAATCAATTCTACAAGTCCAAATTTCCTCTTGTAACCATTCGAAGTCTCCCTTTTGAATGGCATAGTGTTCCGTTGGTGTCTGGAGTTTCTCCCCGGTTTGGGTCGAAGCTGGTCCAGGTGGTGGTGCATCGGATCGACCGCTGTTTGTACTAACACACCCTGCATGTGCGCATCATCAATCAGCAACACTGACCCACGCCAGCTCTCACTAACCAGTCCAGATGGGTGGATGCACACTGTCTGCATGCGCTAATAGCACAGTACCAGCATGCTCATTTGTAACCCCCCCCCACACACACATCACCTCCCCACCCTACTCCTTTTTAAGCAGGGCCCCTCCTCCTGACCGATCGGTCAGCTACCGGTTGGTTATCTTTGCCCCGTCTTTTGCAGTTTTATCCTATCACTTCATTCTCTCTCTCTCTCTCTCTCTCTCCCCCTCTCGCTCTCTATCTATCCTCAATATCATCTTCACACCTTCCCTCCACGTCTCTCCTCCCACCCTCTATCTGTCCCTCTCTCTTCCTGTGTGTGTCTCCTCCCACAACTGCCTCTCCCTCTCTCTCATCATGCCGTGTGGTGCGTTTGCAGTTGGTTCTCCGAGGCATGAGTGAAGCATTAGTAGATCGCCGTGCGGCTCCGGCCCTTATAACTCTGTGCAGTGGGCCTGAATTGTGAGTCAATCGATACACAACGAAACCTTTCTGTGAACTTTGTCATTTTCGTGGGCTGCATCCTTACAGTGTGAAGCAGTGTCCTGTGTTGAGTGTGCACTAAAAAAAAGCAAAAACCTTGTGACCATGAGATGACATTAGCCTTCAGGACTCCTTAAGGACACAAGTGGTGGATTCATTAACTACCATAGACACTCCGTAGAAAAGGATGTTTGCCTCAAGTAAATTGGCTCTCTTCCTGTATCCCATCTGCAGTGATCCACTGATCCGGGGCCACAATTATCAGCTAAACATTTTGGGCATGACGGGTATTTAAATCTCCCCTACTTCAATCTCGTATCACACGTGTCCTTTTCATTGCTGTACAAACACGGCATGCCTTGACAGTTATTTAAAGATCAACTCTCCTACGAGCAAAACAAGAACGTTTTGGGCTTTGTGTGCATCCGGCTTACGTGTTTGTGATTAGTCAAGATGATGCAATTACTGGTGACACTGTTGGAATGCAGCCCTTCTCATCTCATCTCTGTATTGAAATGCACATGCTCGTGGGTGCACACGTGACCCAACTTGTATATTCAACATATGTTTATTTTTAACATCTTTGGCATAAAGTCCAAGACGGCTAAAGTGTATCTTTTTGTATTTCCATCTCCCGCTTACAGTAATATGATCTAGTATCTAACATCACCCTAACAGCACCATATTAATCTTGCTTATCACATAATAATCATTGAATACAGATATTATTCTTATGCGTTATGTTTTTTCATATTTGTTAGGAATTGAAGGATTTATCTGTGATCCCTTAAGCACAAGGAATTTTTTCCTGTAAAAAAACAACTATAGATCAATAGAATCTGATGATCGTTGTTGAAATTGCAGAGTCCAATATGAACTTACTAGATCAACAAAGATTTTAACCGTTAAACTGGCAGTCCGCTACGTGAGCAACCGCATCAGTCATCACCGTGGTTACTAACTATCGGCTTGTGGTCATTAGTATGTCATTAGTCATGAGTGTTGGATAAAACTAGAACATCCCACTTCATTGTGGTTAAAGAATCAATGCCTTCTGGGCACTAGAAGGGCCAATGCAAAAGCAGAAAAACATAATCCTACTATATTAGTAGCATTTTTTGGAAAATCCAAAAATAGCCACAGGGATTGTTGCCTGGATGCAAATGTCATGACCGTAAGCCATTTCAGTCTTGGTTAATGTGGTTAAAACCCAATGTTCTGATCATTGAAGTATATATTTTTTTCTGCTATAAAAAGAACACATAAAAATGTGAGAATACCCCAAATAGTGATGCCGTTGAATATGAATGGTGAAACCATTGTCTTGCTCTCCTGCTGCTTTTAGCTCAGTGAGGATATCTACTATACCTGCCTTTGGTACCATCATGGAGACCGTCACACAAAAAGAGGTAGAGAACAAAATGAAATTTCCTTTATTTATTTAAATATATATATATATATATATATATATATATATATATATATATATTATTTAGAGTAGGAATTTGAATTGTAACCATTGCACAATTCATTATAAAACATGTTTAAACATTGTTTTCGGTACATGTACGTAGCTGCTGGAGCGTGTAAAAATGCAGCTGGCGTCATTCCTGGAAGACCCGCAGTACCAAGATCAGCACTCTCTGCACATGGAGATCATCAGGACGTTTGGAAGAGTCGGACCGAATGCCGAGCCGCGCTTCAGAGATGAGTGTACGTAAAGGGGACTAATGCCTACAGATTAAAATGGTGCACAACGTCCTGGTTGCCCTGGTCCCCCCCCCCCCCCCCCCCCCCCCTGGTTTTCATGTGCGCTAACATCACGTCTGTTGATCCCTCCTCTAGTCGTGTTGCCACATCTTCACAAGCTGGCGCTGGCCAACAACAGCCAGGCGGTGGAGAGCAAGAGGATCGACATTGCCACCCAGCTGTTCGAGGCCTACAGCGCCCTCTCCTGCTGCTGTATCCTTCCATAGGTCACACGCTCTACTGGGCGGCTTGGATTTACTCTCATTTATGGTCCTAAATAACAGCTGCACTTAGAAACATAATCGCCCCGGTAACTTTTCCAAACGTTTCCCAAAAGGTCAGTTTACTCCACTTTTTGTATTTCCAAAGGATTTACATCCCAAGCCTGTGTCACGGTTGGCTTCGGGTTCGGGGATCCGCTATCGTAACAGTGAGTCAGTGGGAAGCCAAATACTAGCTGCACTGGTTAAATGTGCTCCTGGATGTGCCGAGTGTCAGCGTGGCCCCTGCATCTGAGTGTGTGTGTGTGTGTGTGTGTGTGTGTGTGTGTGTGTGTGTGTGTGTTGGCAGAGTCTCCCAGTCGTTTGGCAGAAGGAGAAAGGGAAAATAAGCTGCCTCCAGTTTGGGGCTAGAGTAATTACAGGGTTGGTTAAGGAGAGGATGAGAGAGGGAGAACGAGCGAAGGGCTGAGCATCCAATTGTTAGTAACGGTTCCCAGGGTAGGAATGGCGTTTAATTTAACGCTGTCTCTTCTCTGATTGTTTTACTCCCTTTTACCCCCCCCCACACACTCTCTCTACGCTGCGATTCAGTCAGCCACACCCTGGACACACACGCACATACGCACGCACACACACACACAGTGCAGCTGGCCTGAGGTCCATTCCTGTGGATCTTTGTCAGGCTGTTATTGTGCTCTGCAGCAGTGTCCTACTGGCCTAACCTCAGAGGCTTTACCTCCCACTGCACGTCTTTCAATGTAATCAGTGCGACAGCTCTGACATTGTACATTCCCATCTCTAAAAATACCATCATTTCTTCACTCTCCGTCCCGTGTAGGAAAGCTAGCAATGACAGGTGGCCTACCACGTTCAATCCTGGACCAAGTACTCATGTGTTATGGCGATACATACATTTGTACATTCAAAGGAAAACTTTTTAATAGAAGTGCTTTCATTGACATTTTGGATAGTCTAAAGCAAACTATAAAAGCCCGCATGTGGTAATGCCCGGAAGAGCCATCCAAACTGAATTTGTAACTTATTAACTTTTCAAACACTAGCTTTTACATGTTCATGTCAGGTTGGTTTGGTGCTCTTCCTTCATGTTTCTCAATTCTCAAGCGAACTCCCACATTTTCGCAAACCTGCAAAGGAACCCAGATGGCATGAAGAGTTAGCGATGTTATTTCTGCTGTATCAACATGCATGCGCGTGCTTTGGATCATTCCTTAACTTCCCGTTACCAGTCATTTCTGAGGAGGTGATGGTCAACCACTTCCTGCCTGGACTCAGGTGTCTCCGCGCCGACATGGAGCAGCTCTCTCCTGAGCACGAGGTCAAGAGGCGCTCCTGGGGGGAACGGGGGGGGGGGGGTTCGTACACATGTTCAGACAGTGACTCTTCCAGTCACAACGCACGCATGTATTTAGCACCTCGTCCGTATTCTCACCCACTGATGGACTGTGATTTTGATGTGATCTCAGTGATTAAGCTCAGACGACACGTTACTCTTGTACCACTCCAGTGATTGAAAGCCTTGCAAAAATACATCTATTCTACCAAAACCCAAACTGAATGATTCAATTCAAAGATCCTCTTTGTAAAGGTAACGTTTCATCTTTTTCTGTTGCATCCTCTGCAGGTTATTCTGAGTTCCATGATCAAGGAGTGTGAAATCAAGGTGGAAAACAGAGGAATGGCTGACGCACAAGGGTGAGGAGAGACGAACCGTCCCGTCCACGTTATCGCAACAAGACATGGCTTTATTGGTGATTAAAAGTCATTTGCAGCACGCAGAAGGAGTCCTGCTGTGCGGGACGGGGTCATGGAACGCTGTATTGCCGGTTCATGGTCCCCAGAGGAGAGGTTGTTGAGCCACACTCATTATGTGGGTTTCTTCACACAGAGAGATCAGAGGAACTCGAGGTTAAAGCTAAGGAAGCCGGGAAACACGCCAAGCTGTTGGTGTCTTTTTAAGTCCCCCCCCCCCCACCCCCCCCATCTTGTTAACATGTGGTCCGGGCTCCTTAAGAATAACAGTGTGCATTTTTGGAAGATATAAATCTGCACATGGCTGCCTGAGCCCTTGCGGTAAGAACCGCTATATCTGTGCACAGAGATTTTTGTTCCTCTGTCATTTTGGGATCACAAGTCTTTATTTGACTTATAATTACCAAAATGGATTCATTTGTATTCTCATAGTTTTGAACTTGTAGAATGTCCCATATGCATTTACTCCCATGTAGGAATCATCTGGAATCCCAGATATTTTATAACCCAGTGGACTAAAACCGTCCTACATTCCACGTGCTTATGCACATTTATGCTGAAAGGTACAACGGTTTGCAGGGACGTTGAGGGCCACACGAGTGCCTGTTCTCATCTAGAAGTTGTGAGAGGTTGTTCACCACCCAACGGACCTCCTTAATGAACTTCCGTTCGTTTGTTGTTGGTGTTACGAGGTGATGTTTGCCGAGCTGCCGCATTGCTCAACAGAAGGGCAGAGTCTTGCAACTGCTCGATTGTTTCAGTGTGAATCCGATAACTTAAAAGAGGAACCCGTGGAGCCGTTGGACTGTAAAAATCAGGAGCGTCTGTATTGGCAAACAGCATTTCCAGTTTATAGTGAAGGCTGTTTGGTCCACATTGCGACGGCCGCGGGGTCCAAGCTTTCCAAGCTAATCACAGGACAACAAATACTATTAAAGGCGAGTTGACCTCGTCGTGTTCATCGCGGCCAAATTCAAGCAATTGAATTCAATTCAATTCACGCTTTCTTTTTTTTTTTCCTCCCACAGCTCCATGTCCATCGCCTCCAGCCTGGTGGGTGAAGATGCCAAGACCAAGTTCCTAAGCAAGATGGGCCAGCTGACCACCTCTGGTGCCATGCTGGCAAACGTCTTCCAGAGAAAGAAGTGATCGATCACCGATCGACGACTGCAACTAACTGACAATCCCCTGCTGCTTTTTGGAGCATTTCATTCTACTGGAAAGAGCATCGGTTCAGCTTAAAGTAGAACATAACCATGTGTGTAATGTTTCTTCAGTTCCAAGAGATGACGGTTTGATGAAAGTTGTGTTAAAATCTCCATCGCAGCAGGACTCCATGCTCTTTTAGTGTGAAAAGCAATGTTTTCTTGCAGTGACGGCAGAGGTTTTCGCCTCCTAAATGATGACAAAAGCATTGTCGGGGACAAGGGATTTGCTTTTATGAATTGTCACATTGTCATTTTTGGAAAGAGGGGAGACGGAAGGAGACACTGAACAGTGTTGAGATGCACCCAACATGATAACAAGGGGTTCGTTTCTGGATATCCCAGAATCTAATCTGATTTCACTGCAGAACTTCTTGTATCCTCTTCTGATACAAGAAGTTCTGCAGTGAAATCAGATTACACTCGTTATTAGGAAATAAAACTCTGAGCACGGCCTGCTGGATTTCATGTAGAATCTCAAAGAAACGAGCTGTAAGAGACGTGCATCAACATGCATTTATTCTAGAATATTTGTACTGAAAGACAACAAAACGTCTCTGTTAAGAATGCCTTGTGCAGTGTTCTGTACCGTTCTCAGACGTATTGCATACTTGAAGCTATGGAAAGAAAATGTCTTGCCTTTATTTCTTTAAAGTCTGTCACTGGTTATTGTTTTGACAGTTTCTATTTTATAACTTATTTATGTCTTATGAAAACTATTCCAACTTCCAAAGAAATTTGCACTTCACTTTCCTATTTTCTATTTCGTTCTTTGATATTGTTTATACAGTACTAGTCAAAAGTAACACTTAATGAGAAAGTGTGTCCAAACCTTTGACTAGTACTGTGTTATATATATATATATATATATAGCATTTGTTTTAATTCAGAGTCCCATCACTACTGTTAACTGCTTTCTTTTTTGTTTATCCTTTAATCCAAGAACACTGGTCGTGATCATAGCCTCTCCTTTGCATCTCGTCTCTTTTTTGCAGTGTCTCAGATAATTGTGGGTATTTGGTTCAATCTTTGTTCTTTTTTTTCCGATATGCTCAATGAAAAATGCTAAATAACTATCATACACTGAACTGGCGGGGGGGTGGTACTCATTGTGTATATTTGAAATCGGTGTCATGGTGTAATAAAAGGTGGCGATCCGTTGTGTACTTAAATATACCTGTGGTGGCTTCACTGAATGTCAGCATACTGTTACACTTCCTGGTGTCCCCGAGGTTTGATTGTGGCTCACGGCTCCAAGTGTCAGCAGGTGTCGGAGGCTGTAAAACCAAGTGATTTCACAGACGAGCACACTGCTGCTGTCCCTGACCCTCACATCCAACCCTTTTGAAGTCGCCCATTGTCTGCTTGGTAAAACAAACCAAAGTCCACCTCGCGGGACATTCCCAACAACCCGCTGCATGCGAGAGCCGAAGTCAAAGCTCAACGATCTGGTTAACTTTGAACTACGTCATCTAAAAAGTAAGCTTGATCTCAGGCTTGCTTAAATTCATCAGGGCGATTTAAAGCACGGCGCATGTTTATTTTTCAATCATAGGTAGAGGGAAGTAGTGGTTGCAAGTTCACTGACATGTAGATAAAGGGCGTGTCCACACTTCTGTTTCCGATCTACACAAATTTAAAAACATTTAAAAAAAAAAAATTGAAACTGATCAAGGCGCCCATTGTGGAGCGGCGCCCGTTTAGTGGGTTAACATGACGTGACCTCTTGGTAAAATAACAGGATTTGCATATTCAGGCTAATATTCAACCATCATCATCTGATAAGGTTCCAGGTGGACAAATAATTGATACACGACAGGGTGGAACTACAGGGCACAGTTGCTGTGTGCGTTTCCTTGAGGCTTTGCCTGTGTGTGTGTGTCTCTGTCCACAGATATGCACACAGAGTGTGATTTGGGAACAGCTTGGTTCTTGGATGAGACCCTTTTGCGTGACTTTATCCGTGTGGGTTTGTTTCATAAACGTCCTCCTGGCACTTTGCGGAGGTAGAAATGGAGTCAGCGGGCGGCTCTCGGCGTGACTCACAGATCACATCTGTTTCCAAAGCAAGCAGAAGCAACACAACCCTTCAACCCTTTAACCCACCGGAACACGGTGGTTTAGTCTAAGTGTTTTTTTTTTTATTCCACTCCGGCTGTGAGGGACTCATGCATGTTTTTCGGCCGTCACTATATCCTTGAAGATTCCGCCAAAATCGTGGTACCAAAACAGGCCGCGGCTGCTGCCTTCTATATAGTGTGTTACTTTAATGGAAACAATTTAACGGCCGATGATGTGAGTTCATTTTTGTGTTCATGAGCTGTATGGAATATGCATGAATTTCTATTTTTGTTAATGATGCTAACAGCTCAACCCCACAGACACTTGCTCTCCTAAGTCCTCTTAAGTGGGATTCTTGTGAACCACCATGCAGTGGATCTACATCTTTTTTTTTTTTCACACATCCAAGCAACCTACGTTGTAACTTGTTTGTGTTCTCAACGTTGTCGGCTTAGTTTTGACGTTGGGCGTTGACTTTTGGTGTGCAGTTTTTTGGGGGTTCCTTCAGAGTCGAGCTGAGGTTTTCTGATTGCTTTGAGAGTCTAATCCGGCACTTAATTACCACCCGAGCTGCACAGGCTCCACCACAAAACAGCTTCTCTCAGCATGTTTTCACAGGAAGAGGGGAGGGAGGGAGGGAGGGAAGAGAGAGGGAGAGCCCTTTGCCTCCACTGGCTCAGCCCCAAAGCCTCATTATTCTTCCTCTTTCTCCCTCAATTGAGTTTTTTTGTCGACACGTCAATGTGGCATGTGTGGTTTCATGAAAACTGTCATATGTGCAGCAGAGTGCTGCACAGTAACACACATCGAAATGATTTATTTGTCTTTCTCCAGTTTTATTTTTTAAAAAAGGAGAAAAAAAAGATTGCTTCATCTCTTTGACATGCCGATCAACCCACTTCCAGCCACTCAGGGCTTTCTCATGCACTTGGATATTTGCATAACTGTCAACTTGAAGAGAACATTTCTTTTCTTCTCTCCAACCTGCCCCCTTTTGTTTTGACCTGCCAAGGTAGGCTGTGTCCTCTCTGCTATGCAAATCCATTGCTCGCTCTCTCTTTCTGCCGGAGGGGGCCGTCACAGTGCTCGAGAATTGATGTGTTTTCCTGGGCGCAGAAATGTGGCAGTTATTCTCAAGTACAGTTCGTGTGTTCCTCTGCATTTATCGTAACCTAATTTGTTTAGCGCGTCACAGAAGAAGCGCCACTGGAGAAACTCCTGCGAAATAAGTCGTGCGGGCAGCTGAACATCGAAGTTGATCATCACACAAACGTGTTGTGAAAGTACTTTCAGGATAATCTCACTCATCACCGAGGACAACGAAGAACACATACTCTGTCGCATGCATTCATTTAGATACACAGATCTTCGCTTTCCCACTTTATTTGACACACAGTACAGCACACGTGGGAGGAGCTCCCTCCCTCCTTTCCTTCCTCCTTTCCTCCCTCCCTCGAGTCAGTGCGGCTCTTACAAGGCGTTGCATGCAGTTTACTCCACAATGCGTGGGTGATCGCAGGAGGATGAAGGTGACGTTGGTAACTGCAGCTGCCCGATGAATGAAGGCGCAATTATGCCCTGTGAGACGGCGCGGAGCCTTCGCAAGAAAAAGTGATTTGCTGTGAATGAATCTGAAGAAGAAGAAGAACTGGATCTCGGCGTCGAGGGTCTCGGCTGAGAAGTTTTCCCCAGAAGTGATCTAAATTAACCAGCAGCGATGAGGTCGAAGATTTCTACAAGTTGGATAGTCCGAGCCTGGATAACGTGCGCCCTGGTCTCCTTTTACGCGCAGGTAAAATGCAAAATAACACTTTGTGTTAAATGGAAGGGTTAAAGTTGTCTGATAACATACTGCAAATAGTCAAGGGAGATGCTAATTACTTCACTGTTGCGTTTCAGGAGAATTGACTAAATTATGAAAATGATATTTCATCTTGCGTGAATACGTGCAGGAGGAGGGTGAAAGAGCGGATGATGTGTCACCCCAACACATTATTTGTATGAATTGGGCAAAGGGGGGGGGGTAGTTGGGCCTGAATCCATGTCGCACTGTAACCAAACGGACTCATTATGAGAAGAAACCTCCAATGCGTTATAAGCAGATGACCAACTAGCGTCCCGCAGACACCCACAAGTGTTTCCAACCCGTGCGGCGGGGCCGCGCGTAATGCCCCGCGGCTGAACCCGCTTCAACTGACCGACTGTTGCAGTGATTGACGTGAATGGCCGGCGGCGTGTTGTTGTCCACGTCGTTGGTCGTCAAGTCCAGACAGCTACCTCCTGACGGGAAAGCGGAAGGTGGAAGCAGTTCCCGAGATGTGGTCGCGGTGGTGGGACTGCTGGGCACCAGCGTTGCCCGCTGGCCTCCATTAGCCTGCGTCGTTGTGACCACAGACGCTGGTTCTTTTTGTTTGTATTCTGCTGCGCTTCACTGACGTGAAGTCGCAAGAGAGATCGCGCTTATTAGGCGGGAGCCCGAATGTGGCCCACGCACACTTCCAGAGAGAAAGATGTCAAGTTTTTTAAAAAAAAAGTAACTTTCATCTGCGTTTTGGTGGCAAACGCAAACTTTTGGCGTTGGGTTTGTTCTCACCATGCTCTTGCCATTGCTGACTCACTGTATCCCCCTGAAATTCCCCTTCATTTTTTTTTTCAATTCCAAATTAATTTCAAGCATTGAGCAATATAAAATTGCTTCAAGATGTCGGGAATTTAAAAGTCAATGGATATAATACAACATGAATGAACTGAGATTTGGTGGAGTCATTGATTTGCTCTTATCACATGACTCCTGTACTTTTTTATCATAGCCATTCAATAGTCATCTGCCATCTCCCTCCATCTAATATTCAACTAGCAACCTTTCTTCTTGTTGTGATCACTTAGTGAAGAGATTATTTTGTAACCCTCCAGCTCTCTCCATCCATCCAGCATGTCTTCAGTAGGCTTGAGCAATAACAAATCCTTGCCTCAGGCCTTCAAACCTCATTTGACTGTATAAACAAGTTATCCAATAGATAGACAATAGAGCTCTGTGTGGAGACATTATAAGATGGTAATCGTTTTAACGCCTCAACACAATCTTGTTGAGCTCTGTCTTCAATCAAAACAATTACCAGGTTAGAGCTTGCAAGCTGATGGAAGAGCAATAGTTTGCCGTGTCTTTTAAATGCCACATCGTGGTTACATTTGTTTGTTTAAGTCGGGAGCATTTAAAATGTTCTGATTTCCAAAGTACTAATCGCAAGTGCAAACATTGTTCCAAGATTGCATTTTTCGTTACGCTTTTACATGTTGTAAAATGCAGCAGATTCTTTCCCTCATCACGGCCGAGGTGATAACGGGATAAAGTCACGCCGTGCTTCTCCTGGCTCCACGCCAACGGCTGCCGTTGCCGTTATGCAAATTCCACCCGAGAGATGGAATGCGCTCTGCGTCACACCTCCTCTTTGCTATCAACGTCGGACAAACGCTTGTGAAATAAGTTAACGTGGTATTAATTCATATCGCCATGAGCAACAGGACACTCAATCCCTGTTTGTCTTTTGTCTTTATTTTATGATTTTTTTTCATCTTTTACCTCCCACATCTATTCCTTCACACTGTCTGTCAGCCTCACGCACTCAAACACGAGTGTATATTTGAATCCCTGGAGCAGATAAAGTTAGATTTGAGGTTGGATATTCCATCTTGACAGTCAACATAACCTATAATCATATAGGGTGGATCCACTCTTTTCCTCTTACATTTATATCCAAGCAGTCGAAACTTACTGCCTCGCATAACTGACACCCAATATTTAGATGTGGCGGTAACAGAAATACAATTCCCGCCATTCTTTTGGCTTCCTCCGAGGGGATTGACCGCCAGCATCGTTTGTGTCTCCACATCTCGGGCCGATCCGTCCATCCACCTCTCTAGAGTAAACAAGCATGAAGCTCTCAGCCTGGGAACCTTTCCTTCGTCTGTCACTCCTCTGCTGCAGCATGTGGTGCTTGTTAGTGCTGCGGTCTGAGCTGTGACTGCAGTGCATCATGATCCCTCTGGTTACATTCTAAAACAAAGACACGGGTTGATGGGTGAGAGGCTTAATGGGGTTGATTAAATGCTGCGGTGTTGTCGGGGTGCTCTTGGAGCCGCGGCGTCCAGACAAACAGACACCGAGATAGGCGGCGTTCATGTGGAGGTGTGAGGAAGAAATGCCACGCGGAAAGATGAGCGCAGGATGTGAAACACAATTCCAGAGCGTGGATCACCTTATGTTCTTATCTGATTCTTATATTATTGTGCCTCTTTGGATGGAAAGAAAAGAGCCATTTGTCATTGATATAATGAATGACTGACTGATGGAGGAAGCCTCTGGAAGGAGCAGGAGGACGAGTTTCAACTGGAGCGTTTCTTCATAATGAATGACTGAATTAGCAAATTGTTTCACAGGGAAAAGAAGCTGTCTGAAGGGCTGAGTGGGGAAGAAAGTAGAAGGTTGATTCCAGGTCAGAATGCAGTCAGGCCTATAGGTTGTATTTTTTTTACACACATATATAGACCTGTGGCTTTGGCACAGCTTCTGTCATAACAGCCAGATTCTCTAATTCAGCAATGTGGCTAGGCGTTCACCGACCCTTAATTTAGGTTGGCTGGAGGATGTGTACAGTTTGTGAGAGTCTGCACGGCTTTCCTTAATCGCCTTTATTTAATGAGAGTTTCCGTTTGTTCTTTAAAATATGCACACTGGTAACTTCCATGCTCCTTCCAACTAAAGCTCCAGCACACACACTCTAAGGACTCAGCATCATTTCCAGTTAGAATATAATTACTTTACTTCACCTCTTTGCTTAAGTGCTTTTTTTTTATATCTGCAATATCTGTTTTAAATTTCAAGCTGACTGAAGAGGGTTGCATTAGGATCCAGTCTGTTCTCTCTATGGGACTGGTTGCTATCGGGGTTTGGTTTGCTGGTTTGGAGGGTGTGCTGCTGTGCTGTGGTCAGGTGCTTCTGAGAGTATGGAAAGAATTCCTGGGCACGTCTTGGAGATATTTAACCATACTCTTCCTCTCATTACTCACCACCATCTGAAAATATCCAATGCGGATTTGAAAGATGAACCGACGAAGAAGAAGGATAGCAAGAGAAAAGTGTGGCCTGCATTTAGGAAAGAAGCATTGAAGCTTTAGCTTTTCTTTAGAAGAAATTATAGTTCTCATGTAAATATGTATATATAGATAATATCCTCTGTGTTATTAAAGGAAATATGACTGTTTTGTTTCCTGTCTCACTAAAAGCAAAACTGATTTAGCAGAAAACTGATTTTATGTCCTGATCTTTTTTTTAGGACGCCGTCTCCAAGTCTCTCCAGTGTAATGAAACACATTATTTAAAAGGCTCAAGATGCTGCAAAAAGTGTGGACCAGGTAATAGCACACACACACACACACACACACACACACACAGACGTCCAACACAAGAAAACAGAGTGCGCATACAATACAAAATAGATTTCCATTCACAAATATCCTGAATCAAAAGAGGAAGCGTGTCTAAAAAAGGAACATCTTGGCCAAAAATGGCACAGACGTACGTGTGATTTCACAACCACACACATTACACAAGGATTCGCGTTGACATTTGGTCCACTATAATGTACCCACTCATTTTAAGAGAAATGGTGCTTCGATTTAGCCAATTTAGTTTTTCTTTCAAGTTTTAATTGATTATGTGATTATTTTCAGGTCGTAAACTTCATCTGTCTTTGTTCATCCCACCGTCTCTTTCCCACTCACTTATTTGTTTCTTCTTTTTGTTTAGGCCTCCGTGTGTTTTCCCACTGCACCAATTCCCAACAGACTATATGTAATAGTTGTAATCGGGATGAATACCAGCCTGGCTGGACTGAAAACCAGAGCTGTCTCAAGCAGAAGTACTGTGACCAAGGTCAGTACCAGCCGTCTGGAGCTCTTCATAAACCAGTTAAAGTATAGATCATAGTTTATAAATATCTGGTGTCAACTCCCTCTTAGTCTAAAGCTCTACAACAGAGCCTCTGAGGGTCAACAACGTTAAAATGAATTATTCTAGTACTGTTGTAGTGATTCTTTTTGGCTGAAATCACAAAATGAGCAAAATGTGTAATCGTACTCTATATGTAACAAATCAATTCCAAACTAATATAAATATAATATTTAAATCTGCCCTTGGGTTGGGGCTTAAGCTGTAACACACAATCATTTCTTCAATGTTTTGGACCTACTTTTGCACTAAAACACTTGTACCACTGACTACCAGGTAAGGGTTTTATGCCGAGGCCTGAAAACCTTGTGGCAGAGGAGCCGTGTCGCTGCAAACAGGACTTCCAATGCCACCCCATCAACTGTGAGTACTGTGAGAAGATACCCAGCTGCAGTACTGGATATGGACTCCAGGTGGACCCCGGTGAGACAAATGAACACAAAACACCAACAAAACAACAAACAATTAAGCAACCAGGAGTGTCTCTGAGAGCTTTGTTGCAATTTATTATTGATTTTAGAGTCCACCATTGGAAGGAAGACATGTGTTGCGTGTAAAAAAGGCTTCTTCTCTGCTGACAACAGTGCGGAACAATGCAAACCATGGACGAAGTGAGTGTTTAAATGAACACACACACAGATATTAGCCTGGAATCATGAATGGAAAATGCATTTGGGTAGTTGACGTGTGTCTCACCAACAGTCAGCTGTTATGAGTAATAACTCACACCACTTCCCCTGGAACCCTTGATCAGACACGAGCTTCCACTGCCGCTTTGATCCTTAGTGACGATGGAGAGAGGGAGGAAGAATTTAGTTTTTCTCTCCATCTGTTCCCCTTTTCTGTCCTTCGTCATTGCAGATTCATCTGCAAATTCTCTCGGGTCGGCGTGCAAATTGTAGAGGGAAAGAAAAAAAAAACAACAACAGCTAACGAGTCCCGTTGAAGAAGTACTCCCCCCGTGACTGGTGCGTGTTTGTGATTTCATCCTCCCGTCTAGTTGTAAAGCCGAGGACAGGAGTGAAACCCAGCCGGGCAGCGCCGAGGCTGACGCAGTGTGTGGACCACCTGTCTCTGGTAAGACATCATTCACTGCAGACTGCGACCACACAAAGGGTGTGTGATTTATTCCTTAATTGTTGTATATTCGGCTGAGAAAAGTTGTCTGTAAACTGCTCTTTCTTGCAGGTGCAACGCCCTCCTGGCTCATCGTCTCCGTGCTGTCAGTCATCACTGTTCTCTCTCTCCTCATCCTGCTCCTCTTCTGCTACAAGGACAAGCTGAAATTACTGTCTGGTTAGTCACTGTCACATTATAACTATGATGTTTCATTGTCTTTTATCTTTTTAAGGTGTCACTCAAAAACAGATAGTCAGAAGGGACATGCAATCACTTTAAGTAAACATTGTAGTACTTCCTAAATCCTAAATGATCCCTTATGCTGTTCATTAACCTTTTTAGCAGTACACCTTCACCAGAGATTATTAAGAGTCCTACCACTGCTTATGATTCCGTGTTAACAAAACAATGTGATGTTTCTTTGTTTAGTAAATCTACGATCCTGTGTGCAGAATCTGAAGAGGACTAGGATACAACAGGTAAAGTGGAGTTTTGTTTCAAAAGCCATCGCAAGTAAGCCCAGACGCATATGATGTTATTCATGAAGCATGTGATCAAAAGAAAGGATTAGGAACACAAACAGTTGTTATGTCTATTACTACTAGGTATCTTTTAACTACTTATGCTAATGATAGCAATAGCTCACAATGCCCATGTCGCTCTGCTCTCCTAGGAGACCTTGGCCCCTCTTTACCACAGTGGAGCTGGAGGAGGACTAGCAGGGGGCCCCAAATATACACCGTGCGATACGACCAAACTCATCTGCCAAGCCCCCCACAGCCCTGCCGACGGGCACCCTTGCACTTTCCCCATGTCCGTTCCCGATGTCAAGGTCTCACTGCCCTTAACGGGGGAAAGGACGGAGGAAGAAGGCACCAAGGGGAAGGCAGCGATGGAGGACCAGAGTGAAGGGTCTGGGGAACCTGAGGAAGTGTCAGAAGAAGACGAGGTCGTCAGCGCGTCTCCCCTTTTGGCGGGTTCTTGCGTTTGTCTCGTTCCTATCCGCGAACCCCTGGAAGTGGGGGAGAATGAGGACTGTAGCCAGGCCGTCAGCTGCGGCACCCCAGGAACCTGCTCATGTAGAGGGCCGGATGGAGAGAGGGATGCAGACGAGAGTGGGAAAGAGGAGAATGGTGGGAGTGCAAGGGCAGACGGCAATGGCAGAAACGGAGGCGGAAACCCAGAAAAGATTGTTTTGACCAAGAGTGAAACAGGCGTTGCGTCTCTCGTGCCGCTTTCTCCTCCGCTCCTCCACATCTCCTCCGTCATACCTCATCCCAGTACACTTCCTGAACTCTGCCTGCCGCTGTCTCAGGCGCAGACGAGGTCGGAGTTCAAAGCACACCTGACTGACAGGTCACTGGTAAAGCAGGAGGAGTCGTACACAGAGAGCAGCACAGCCTCTGCGATGATCTCGGTCAGCCCCTTGATGACTTCCTCGTCTGTTGGAGATCTTAACCTGGAGAAGCCCCCCGAGGCCTCGAGCCCGGAGCTCGGCCAAGGACTCTCCTGGGGTCGCAGCAGGGGAATAAAACTCTCTTCTGGAGAGTTAGATCTTGAGTGTTCACCTGAGAGCCTCCACAGTCAGCTGACTGAACCAACTCTTACCTCAGGTGGGTAAACATGTAGCACTCGCGCTGTATATTGTACCATAAAAGAGTCATAGTATACAGTATAGTGTATACTATACTGTATATTATGACTAGGCATGACTAGGCATGACTAGGCATTAAAGAAGTGCCATAAAAAAGTCTCAATACCTTATGTTACACAAAAATGTCATAGTATGTCATTAAAAAGTCATTTTAAGTCATTATATAAAATGGCATAAAAATGTAGTGCTATAGTCTAAAGAATTACCATGTTATAATATGCCATGAAAAAGTAATAAAGAAGCAATAGTAGGATGTGTCATAAAGAATTCAGAGTACTTTTTGGTATTAAAAACCATGAACTTCATATTATAGTGCTACAATAAACATGTCATAGCATAGTGTCATTTTGGAAAAGAAAATCTGAATACTAAATTATTATTATTGCATAATTCTGACTTGGAAAGTTGATCTCATAGTTGTGATTTAGTGTCTCATAATCGCCACATTGTTGGTGACCAAAACCAAATGTTGGTTGGTGGTAGAAACGGGCTTCCATACATACGTACTCTCATTCCCGGAAAGTCAAGCTATTTTTTTCCAAAACCCTCCTGGGGCATAAAAAAAGAAGCTGTGGAGATGGATACTTCCTGAATCCTTTCGCGATGACCACCCAACAATGTCAGTGGACCCTGAAAGCACCACGGTTGTGTGCTCGGGGGGGGATATTGGCTCATTACAAAGACCGTCGGACCACAGCTGTGTTTGCCAGTTTTTGGTTCTTAGTTATTTGTTTGTGAGTCAGTCACAACCACCGTAATGCCCCAGTGTCAGTGAGATTTAACGCAGCAGGGCTCTCTTTCTGCCGAATAGGTGGGACTGGCCACCAAAAAACAACACAATGAGACTCATGTTGGTTTTAATGGAAAGTTTTACTGTCACACAGTCGAACTTGTATTGTTCTTGTTGAGGCCGTCACGCGCTGCCAAAAGGACATATTTATTTATTTAGCTGTATTATGACAACGGTCCCGTCACTACACTGCTTCGATCAAATTATTAGGCGAACACTCTGTTTCACAATATAAATAAAAAAAGGTGTGTGATTGTTTCCAAGAAATATATCTTCTGCAGCCAGTATTGATAGTTTAACTCTGGATTAAAGGGGACCACACACAAAGCAGGAATACGATCTGAGTTTGATGAGCCAGTGAACCACCAGAACCACACTCATACAGTGTTGTGTGTTTGTTTGTGTGTCTGTGTGTGCCAATGTGGAACATGCCATCTACAAAGCTCCTGTTTACCCAGAGTTCCATAGGGTTGCACAAAATGACCACAACTTTGATTGAAGAAAGATGTTGCGCAGCTTGTGTAATACTTTTATAGCCCAGAAGAAAACACACTGACACACAAACATTTTGACTCTCACTGATGAGTTGGCTCTTTAATTATCCCATTTCCCATCATGCAGTAATCACAGGTGGTCAAATGGATTTATTTATAATTGTGAGACTATTGTCTCAGAGCGTAACATTGTCAGTATGTTGGACTCTCAGCAGCTTCGGGTTTGGGGGTTAAATGCATTTGTGCAAAGAGGACACATCAAAAGTTGTAAATTACCCAGATATATTTTACTGGTCGAGGAATCAAACTGGCCGCTGTTCAGGTAACACGAGAAACGTTTGGCAGGGAGGAGTTTTGTGCAGTTGTGGTTTTCACTGAGACTGAGAAGAAGAGAGAGACACAAGTTCAACTTTAGTCTTTGGTTCAAGGAAAATCGGCCCAGCTGAAGAACCAAAACGGATTCCACAGAGCTTTGTTATAAAAGTTGTGGTGAATCGACATATTTTTTTGGAGCCAGACCTCTCAGACTGAGATTCCAGGAAATGTTCTCAGATGGGTAACACAGAGACACACTCACTTTGTGCGTACTTGCGCTTGTCGGCCTTTGCAACTTCATGGGGACGTGTGTGCTGTTCAGTGAGTGTGTACGTTTGTGTAAAAGCTGCGATTGTATGTATGTGTGTGTATGTGCGGCACATGTGCGAGCCGGCATGAGCTGTGAGTCACTGAGGTACGGCTCGTCCTGTCGGCTGGAAACTCAGACGGGAGGCATAATAAAATGGGAACCGGAGGCTTAATGAGGTGGAAGATGGCTGACAAAAGAAAAACACACGTTACATTTCCTAATTCACCTGTTTCGCTGCAATTACATGAGTTTTTTTACGTTACTTGTGGAGAAACACTGGCACAGTACTGGCTGGAAATAAAGATTAGCGTGAATACAGCGTTATTTTTGGCAATTTATTCAGCTATGTCTGAAGAACCTTTTGACAAATGAGTTGTTTTCAGAGGGATTGAGCTTCTCACGCTGTGAAGCGCTACACACTGAAACAAATGAGACGGAAAGGATACGATACGGCGGTCTATGTCGCTGTGGCCTCTCTGTGGTCATCCTGCATGGTCATTACACCCACTGTCCATCTGTCATCCGAGCTTGGTCGAGATTTAGCTCCTTCTTCACTGACATCATGAACCTGGAAAGATCTATCTGACTGGGCGGGTGAGGAGAGGGAGACGGGGGGAGGGGAGGGGGGCTGGAGGGCCACCTCTTGCACAGCTGTACTATATATCAAATTATCTTACGACAGTAAATTGTCATTCCACCCTAATCCAGGGATTAGAGTTGAGTTTTTTATCATGAATCCATGACTTTTGTTAGATCAGCCTACCCTTTCTAAAAAAATATCAAATATGACCCACAAATAGTGTCTCATTTCTTCATTCCTACTCCTCACAACCCCCCCTTCTCTTTTTCTCCCTCCCGTGCTTCTCCCATAAAGGTCAGGTGTCAGGGAGCCACAACACCACCTTCATCTCCAGCGGCCAGGTGATGAACTTCAGCGGCGACGTCATAGTGGTGTACGTCAGCCAGACGTCTCTGGGCAGTGACGGGGCCGGTCAGGACGACGCCTTCGGGAGCCCCGTCCAGGAGGAGTCCAGTGAGACGGCCCCGGTTTTAAGGAGCGCCGCGAGGCCGCGGGGGGACTCGGTCAATCGCAGCACCTCGCAGGACGAGACGCTGCCCGTGCAGGAGGTGGTGGAGGAGCGTCCGGCGGGAAAGTGAAAAGTGACTCAGAAGGACATTATTGATCTCCTATGCAGCCAAGAACCAAGACTGAGCTTCCTCTGTCCTTCATGGACAGCACATTCCTCATCTCAGTGACAATCATTCAGAAAATGTAAAAAAAAAATGACTCTGATCAATTCAGTTACTTCAACTTAATGTGTTAGCTTATGTTACAAAAAGCCTGAATGAATCTGCATAACATCCCTGCTTCCTGTTAAAGAGGAAAGAAAAACTGCCATTTGAAATGATGCCGGGGAGAGAGACACTTTTTAGTGATGCGGAGCTGCAGATCTATGTCTGCATAATCTTTTCTTACTCATTTGTCAGTGAATCTTGCCTCAGGCATCTCCAAAACGCCTTTATTAGTTTTCCATTGGAAGGCTTCACGCTTTGCAATGGAAACTCCCTCCGATCCAGACAAAGATGGGGCATTTGTTGAGAATTAGTAGCAGAATTAGCGTTCGAACTGGAAGAACGTTATGTTCTTATTGTATGGAAATTGCAGTTGGGTACATGATACATTTTTATTTTCCCACCATCCATCCCTGATTATCCTGGATTAAACTCTAAACTACATTTCTGTGTTTAACATTTCTAAAAAAGTATCCTTGCATAACAAAATATCCACCATGTGGAAATAATTGTGTTTGCTCACACAAAATCAGGATATGACGGTAAATATTTTATGGTATGAATCTAATCCACCAGCTACTTTACTATCTGGCCATTCAGTGAGTGAGTGTTTGTCTTTTGGGGTTACAGGGTTTGACAAAAGATCATTTACAGTAAAGGGACATATCCAGTTTTGGAACAATGTTTATTTATCCCATTATGTCTTTTGACTTTTTCAAAATGATCTTCTTATTGCACCACAAGTGCAGTGTGTGTCAAGGAAAAATGCTGTGCATTTAATAAGCTATATTTTATTGCTGGTTTGTTTTGTCTCATTAAATTTTAATGCACAAACCTTCACGAAGAAAAGTTAAATTTCCATCTGTTTATATTTTAATTATTTTACAAAATTAAATTGTCGATCTATCATTTCAGAAGATATGTGATCAATGTCTGTACATATTTCAAAAGAAAGGGATGTATATGTGAATCTAAAATGAATGTTCTCTTTTTGCCTCCCCTTGTTTGATGTGATGCTTTTAGATACGCCATCAACAGCAGGCAGAACTGTTCAGTACAACCTCGCCATATGCTAGTAGCCATTATGTACATATCAATCGAAATCTTTCCAATGAGAGACTGAAAGAATTTTGTGATTGAAATTAAACACCTTTTGCATCTAATACTCTTTAGACGTTGCCTGCTTTTTACCTCTGTCGACTTTCCCATTCTGGTTTTGCTAAACCACAATGAACGTGTCCTTTCTCCCCTAAATATGGTCCTCAATCTACGTGAGCAGTGCTAATTACAAATGTGGCCAGTCCCCTGTGTCTTTGCCCCCGCGTTGACGGGCAGACAGACAGGCGGCCTTTCATCGGGCCTGCGGACGGCGAGCAGCTGTGAGGGGAAACCAGTCAGACCGGCCAGCGTCACAGAGACCACATGAGAGAAGCTGGCAGCGCTCATTTGGGCCTGGTTTGGGTCAGCAGGAGTGTGTTTACGCGCGTGTGTGTGTGTGTGTGTGTGTGTGTGTGTGTGTGTGTGTGTGTGTGTGTGTGTGTGTGCGTGTGTGTGTGTGTGTGTGTGTGTGTCTGTGTGCACCTCGTTTCAGCTCACTTTATGGTTGTTTGTGAAAACAGGAAGTTATGACTAGCCTTCACATGGTTTGCATGAGAGCTGAGCCGAGCCAGAACCTAACTGTGGATTCAAATTATTTCAGTCCTGTCTCCAGCTTTCCACGTAGGAGCAAACAGGCCCTCTGGTGCTGGAGACGTGTAGCAAGTCTGCCCCCTAGTGGTTACTGTAAAAAAGGACAAGAAATCACATATGGAAATTTTGACTTTGAATAAGCAATTTGTATTAAAATTTTTAAAAGCCCGTGCTAGTCTTTGGTCTCATTAATGCATACCAATGCAAACATGTCACCCGTTTACCTCCATCACACAATTTTTAGAGGGGAGGGCAGTTTAAACACACTGTCACGTTTGCCACAATCCCCAATTCAGATAACAGGCTCAAATTCGGGTGATAATTTAGACCTTCCTGTGGAAAGCACCAGAAAATCCACAATGGTCGAATGCTGGCAGGATCACGTTTGTTTCCGGGTTTTTAATTTCACCTGATTTACTTAAGATTCATTTCCCCAAAGCTCCTTTTTCTTCCAGTGGATAAGGTTTCTGGTTTCCTCTCAGGTACGGATTCGCATGCGGGACGTTTGAAGAGATTAAAAGACTTCAGATCAAACCGCCAGAAAGAAAATAAAGTAGCTTCACTTGGACCATCAGATACAACCTCTCATACTGCTTCCATGTTAGTGTACAAATATCGATTATTATTTCACTCTGTTTTATGTTTAATGATAAACTTTTGGAGTGAGCGAGATTCATGACATCCCAACAATCTGCTCATTTGAAGGCTGAAGTTCACTTTAGAAACACTGCAACTAAATACACAGTAGTTCTCTGTTACTCAGACTTCTGGAACGATAGCACCGCATGCCATGTGACTGCTCGCCGGAAAACCTGTTAAAAATGTGGTCAGATTAATTTGTCACCCTAACAGACTTTTAAATCACAAGACTTGCATGTACTTATGACTGACCGATGCACACGTAATTATGTGAAGGGGGTATAAAGGGCGTACATATTTTTCTCCATCTCCTTTCCCTGTCGTCCTATCATTCTCCCCTCGGCAGTCTTGGGAAGGAGAAATTTCCATTTAAGGAAGGAAACAACAATTTTGTGTCGCCGTCTACAGATATGCAAGCAATCAGGTAAGAAACTCCGATAGGAAGACATAAATAATTCAGAAAAATGATATATTTGCTAAATACATTGATTTCAAGATGGGTGGAGACGTTGCTCAAGGTCTGTTCTGAAAGACACTGAAATGTCAGGTCAGCTTAAGCTTGTGACTTTTAACTTCATTTTGAACGATAATTATTGTTTAGCATTCACTTTTTGGACGGAGGTGGTAAACGTCACCCACCTTGTAATTTAGTCACTGCCAGTTTATACAAACATGGCACAAAAATGACTCTTGTCTCAGACTTAGAAGTTTTTTTGAATTATCTATCGTAAAGATGGGATTTATTCACAGTGTTTGGTGTCCAGATATTCCCCAGCACCCCTTATCACTAACACCTTCATGCTCCACTCCGCAGGTCTCTAATCATCCCCAAGTGGTCCTCAGATGTGCAGCTGGAAGGGAAGACAGCCATAGTAACGGGGGCCAATGTGGGAATAGGCAAAGAGACAGCGAAAGACCTGGCAGGCAGAGGCAAGCAAGCAGAACCGCACATTGAAAGACAAATGAGCGCCATGATGACTTGCAGCCTCTTTGTGCAAATCTCTCTTGCTGTGTGACGGAGAGGAAATTGCGTGGAAATGGTTTGCGGTTTAACAAGCATGCAGGTGTGACAAATATAACAAAGTGGCTCAAACATTAAAGTGTCCAATTTGTTTAATAAATAATACCCACAAGCATGTGAAAAAACAGTGACTTTAATCAAATAAAGCTTAAAACATGTGAGACCAGAGCAAAAAAAATGGAATTACAAATAATTCATGGTGAGACAGAGATAAATGTTAGATAAATGAGTAAGCTCAATGCCCCCCTACTGCTCCTTTTCGACACGAACATACATGCAAGCACGCAGCCGTCATTAGGAGGTGTCTGTCTCTGTAGGTGCTCGGGTGATTTTGGCATGCAGAGACATGGCGAAAGGAGAGCAAGCCGCTCGGGACATCATGAGGGAGGTGAAGGGAGCCAAAGTAGTCGCCAGGCAACTGGATCTGGCTGACACCAAATCTATCTGCCAGTTTGCTGAGAATATCTACAGCAGTGGGTGGCACGCACAACGCAACGCAACGCAACACTGCAATACAGTTTGTCCACTCACAACTTGTGTGGTATATATTTTGTTTTCCAGACGAGAAGACTCTTCACTATCTGATCAACAATGCGGGTGTGGCTATGTGCCCTTACTCCACCACAGCGGACGGATATGAGATGCAGTTTGGAGTCAATCACTTGGGTAGGAGATCAAACGTTTTGGGGAAAATGGTCCCTGTTGGTTGGTTAAAAATAAAAGCAAACGATCGACCAGTGTGGCTCTGTTTCCATCACTCAGCAATCCCTAAAAATCATTTGTTCGTTACGATGTTTCTTGCCTCGCTTCATCCGTGAACTCATTTACCTCGATGGTTCCCTCTTCAGGTCATTTCTTCCTGACCTTTCTGTTATTGGATCTGCTGAAGCACTCGGCCCCATCCCGGGTCATCAACTTGTCCTCGTTAGCTCACACTATGGGAAAGATCCAGTTTGATGACCTGAGCAGCGAGAAAAGCTACCACCCGGTGAGGGCCTACGCCCAGAGCAAGCTGGCCAACGTCCTGTTTACCAGAGAGCTGGCCAAAAGGATTGAGGGTAAGGTGTGTGTGTGTGTGTGTGTCACAGAGAGGGGGACACATTATGCACCGTGTGTGTGCGTCTTCATGAGCCTTTTCTGTGGCTCTCTGTCTCGTTTTCTCTGCGTACCAAATGGAATTAGCTTCTCCAGCCGCTGTGAGAGTCTCATGCCTCAACCACAGTCGCTCTGGGCGAGGAACGCTTTTTAAGGAATGCACCGTGGCGGCGATAAAACATGTCACTCAGTATAATTAGGATTATGAGTGAGTGAAGGATAACTTGCATTCAAGATCAAGATTCTAACGGTTAAGGTTCTTTATTCGTGAAGATGAAAGTCTTTGCGCCGTGTCATTTTTTGATTTTAGAGCTATTTAGAGCAAAACCCCAGCGGTGGGACAGAAAAGCGTTTTGGAAAAGGGGCACTCACATAAACCCGTTTTAACTGCATCCCCTCGGTGACAGCTCTAGGTGTGACGGCTTACTCTGTGGACCCCGGCACAGTGGACACTGAAATCTCGAGGCACCTGGGGCGCCCTCTTGTGAGCATAACCAAGACGCTTGCCTTCCTGCTCAAGACCCCGGCAGAGGGAGCCTACACCACCATCTACTGCGTCGTCACTCCGGAGCCCCAGATGGTCACCGGAGGATATTACAAGTCAGTCCGACGTGCCGAGCTTCAATCCTCAATTCAAATCAGCCTGACCGGAGCCATTTATGAGGCCTCCCTGAAAGCAGACATCAGGCAACATGACAACACGTGTAAACAGCCTGAGGTCATTGTTTCCTTGATGGTGCATGATGTTGGACAATGCAGTTGCCGTCATCATATCTCATCACGACGTTAATCGTATTCCCTGCCTGCTTAGAAACAACAGCAAGAACAGAACCTTTGCAGGACCACATACACCACCAAAAGTCTTATTATAGGACACGTGTCAATCAGCTACATGACAGCTATCCAACAGGTCATACACTGAATGTTTAGAATGAGCTTTTCTCATAGGATACCGCCCCATAAATCTGTAACAATTACATCGGGCCCTTTTCCAAGCTGCCATTCTGGATTTAATTCCGATGCAATTTGATAGGGCGTGTTGCAGCCCTCTCAGTGCTGCAGCACGCCCTATCGCCGTTAATAATGACACTAGTATTGCACATATAGAGGTCCTAACTGTCTTTCCCTGCCTTCCAGGGACTGTGCCAGTGCAATGACCGCAAGGGCAGGTCAGGATGATGGAACTGCCCTGAAGCTTTGGGCTGTGAGCTGCCAACTTCTAGGCATCCGCTGGAGATAAAACATCTAAATCTGCCACACCACATGCCATCAGGCGCTATGCATGGACACTGTTACACTGTTACACAATATTATGCCTTGCTAGATTGAATAAAAACAGATGACTCCACGTGTTGTAATAGAGGTTTGGTAGTTTTGGAGGATTGGTAAAACTTGACAATGCTGAGGAAACAATGTTCATAGCTGTTGCTGATAGAATAAAAAAAGCATGGTGGTATTCACAAGTTGTTCTTGTGCGTATGCGTTTATCTGCATGCAGCAACCTCACTTCCTTTCCACGCGTTAAAATATTTAACCAAAATACACGTGGGTGTGTCGGGATGAAATCCGCAGGACCACCATTTCAGTTTGATATGGGGGCTCAAGCGGCAGGAAGAAAACTGTGACCACGATAACACCGTGATTACCGCATTATGCGCGTTACGCGCGGCGACTGCGCGGTTCGCCGTTTTTCTAGAAGCTCACTGGTGTCACGTACAGCAGATTGTGTGCGGGGGGGGGGGGGGGGGGGCCATTTTTTTTAACGGAATCCGTTTTTCCCAACAATGTCCGGAGCCCGCTCGGTCTGTAACCCGAATCCCCTTTCCGGGCCCCCGGGCCCCCGTCTCCAAATTGGTAAACAATTAACCGTCCCCCCCCCCCTGATTGGCTGAAGCGCGTTATTGTCCCCCAAGAACCCGGGGGGGAGAGAGAGACAACTCGAGGACTCCGAGTCGTTCATTCATTACGTGCCTCACTGGCTCTCTGGTGCTGAGTCTGTGACTCTGTGTCCGACAGTTCGGCAGATAGCAACAAACAAACAAAAAAGGATCTTGAGATCGCGACAGCACGTCAGCAGATTCGGATACGTAAATACATAAATGTTTTGTAGATGCGGCGCTCCAGTGCGTGCTTGTTTGTTTTTAATAGTTTATTATCCATAGGTCACTAAATAAAGAAAAACACACAAACAAACACGTTTGTACGCCTCTCCCTCCTGTCAGAGTCTTAGAGACAAATATATATATGTATTTTTGTAATTATTATAATATCATTATATTGTTATATTTCTATACATATATATATATATATATATATATATATATATATATATATATATATATATATATATATATATATATGTGCTTAAATTAAACAAAAGTCAAGCACTGTAATTTTCAAAGAGTGGATCATGTTTAGCATGATTCGTTTCCCTCTTAACCAATTCACCCAATTCACTTTCCTTTACTTCACTTTCATGGAACATTCCACCAAGGATCAAGTTTCATAATGACAAAGCAGGTTCCTGACGGCAGTCGTACTCATTGTGAAGGTTTCTGTGATTGTTGTGTGTTGTTAAGGGGTGTGTGCTCGAACCGCTGGTCCTCTGAGGAGAGGTTAGATGGGAAAACAGTCATCATCACCGGAGCCAACACTGGTATTGGAAAAGAAACGGCCAGGGACCTGGCAAGAAGAGGTAGTCTCAGGCTTGTCCGTCTCCCCCACCCCCTTCTGTCTTAGTCTATTTCTGTTTTGCTCCCATCAATGTGTACCTGCTTCTCTAGCTTTCATCCTCCGAGCTCACTGACTACCAAACTGACTCACACATTCTACTCTTATTCCCCCGATTAAGTACCTTTAAGGCTTTCGGTTGTTTAAAGCCAAAAAACGTGATCTTCGGCAGCGGGCCCCCGTCCTTCGACCTCCAACATAGAATCCGGTTTTTAATCCCATTTGTGTGCTTATTCAGTGTGCTCATGCTGTTTTGTTGGGACTAATAAACTGTATCAAGGGGTTTTTGTGACTTCAGAATACCTTAACGTCTTGAATGCTCCAAGAAACCGACGTGAAGGGCAGATGGAAAAGAGAAATTCAAAGTGAACATTCCTCAAACCGTAGCTGGGATGGAAGACAGACGATGCATTCGGGGACAGAGGGAGCATTGTGAGGGTCTGCTCCCCTCCACAGCCAGACAGGAAACAAAGAGAGATTGGAGGGTGCGCCCCCCCCCCACCCTAATCCCAACGGCTTCCACACCCCCAACTCGGTGACCCAGAAAAAGAAAGAGTAAATAAAAAGTGTTTTGTTTGTTTTTTTACATTAAATTGGAAGGTTCGCATCGCTTCCAGCCCCACCCCCCCCTCCTTTTTAAACACGACCGCCCGGGCTCTGTGATGGATTCTTATTTCAACGCGGGGAGAGGTTTTTCGCCTCTTTGCAATGGCCAACAAGTCCTGACATGATATTGAACTAAAAATAACCAGAAATCAGTTGGAATTATTGCTGGTGTTGACCAATATAAGATGATCTTTGCGGAGGAAAACAACGATAGCTTCTGGAGAATTCCCTGTCAAATTACTGGATCATTTTTCAGTGAATTGCATTACACAACGGCATGGTGACAACATGATTACATTTGAAAGGATTCATAACACAAGGTGCTTCCTTGGGGTAAATTACCAGGACAACCACACCAAATCCCCACCTTCTTAATCATTTATTTATTACTCATTTGCCAATCTAATTATACAGAATTGGATCTGGTCGACTTTGCCTTTTGTCCTTGTTGCATATACTGACACCGACTGTGCCCCCAGTAACACTGTGCATCATCAGCTGGGTGATGCTCAACTTGATTCCTCATAAACTTCCCTTCTCCCATTTCTTTGCTACTGAATTACATTGAAAGAACTTGGCTACCAGGCAAATGAGGGTTTTTTAAACAATTGGGTTTTCCGACATGGGAACAGCAAGCGGGAACAAAGCCGCTGCTCCTGATTAATGAGCCTCCTCCTCCGTAATTGGTGGGTACAGCAGCTTTTTTGAGTGTCGGGGGAGTTTTCTTTCAATTTGTTACTTGTTGTGTCTGTTGTGGGCGACAGAGAAAGAGAGAGAGAGAGAGAGAGAGAGAGAGAGAGAGAGAGAGAGAGAGAGAGAGAGAGAGAGAGAGAGAGAGAGAGAGAGAGAGAGTGTGTGTGTGTGTGTGTGTGTGTGTCCTCCAAGCCCCTTTTCTCTGCTCATTAAGGAGAATGCATGTTCATTTGCGTCGGAGGCGAGGATGACACAGTTGAGAGGGTCTTGTGTTCATGTGAGTGAAGCACCTGGCTCAATGAGATGCTCAATGAGAGGTTACAGGATTTAATTGGTTTCTTTTGTCAAAGCGGATGATTTCAGAAAGTACAGACTCACATACTTCCCCCCCTTGATTGGCGTAGTTCGCTCTGTGTGCGTGCAAATGGGCAGTGCTTTTGTAGTTTGTAGTTGGAAACTTTCAAACATTCAAGCCAGCCGCTGTAGAATCTGCCTTTATACTTAGATATACCTTGTCAAGGTTATATTCAGACATTGGAATTTCTTGTGTAGTGTAAATGATCCACTTGCAGCACAAAGATGAATGGGGACGTGATAATCAGCACGCTTAAACAGACTTGTAACCACTCAAAGGTCATGTGATGTGTGTTTTTTCAGACAGTGGTGTGGAACGGAGCATCAGTCGTGTGAACTTTGGCCCCTGTTTTTCAGGCGCACGCATCGTCATGGCTTGCAGAGACCTGGAGAGGGCCGAGGAAGCCCGAACGGACATTTTGGAAGACACAGGAAATGAGAACGTGGTCATCAGGAAACTGGATCTCTCGGACACGAAATCCATCAGAGTGTTTGCTGAGCTCATCAACAAAGGTAGGAAACGGGAGGCCACTGAAATCTTTACATTTAGCCCAGTTTGTCTACCGGTTCCTTAACCCACTGGTGCGTTTTGCGCGGGGGTTGCACGAGGCTTAATGAGAGGCAAACTGTGAAGGTGCTAAACGCAGTCCACTTACCACACGTCCCGAGCATCATGCCACTCATTTAACATTTGGGACTCATGGGAAATCATTACTAATTCTCCCTTTTCCTTTTGTCTTTTCAGAGGAGAAACAAGTGAATATCCTGGTAAACAACGCGGGCGTCATGATGTGTCCCTACTCCAAGACCGTTGACGGGTTCGAAATGCAGTTAGGCGTCAATCACTTGGGTAAGTCCTACTGGAAGGCGTAACATTCCGGCAAGTGACGGCTCAGTCGTGCTAATCGACGCAACATTCACAGTCGGCAGTGAAGTTTGTGAATTGTTTATTAACATGAATACGCAGTGATAGGAGGCTAAAGAAGAATATTTCAGCCCATATTACGTTGTGTTAACAAAGCCACTGAACACATGTACAACCAAGCTGGCCGACATGTCAGCCAGGAAAATGAACCAGTGTCTGTTTGGGTCAAGCTGTCCGTGTTTTGCCCAGCATTGAATCGTGGCTTCCTTCCAAATGATCTTCTCCTCAGTGATATTTTTGTCGCAGGCTGAGAAGAACAGTCTGTGTCAGAACATGCTCACACCCACACACACACACGCAGATGCAGGCACAGATATACACACACACACACACACACACACACACACGCAATGTCACACATTGCACGCGCACATATAAACCTGTGCATCCACGAACATCCTTTACGTCTGCACACATACTTTGGATAACAATAAACACTGGTCAGGTCAACAGGAAGAAGAGAAGAATAGTTTTTAGGGCAGTGGCATTGTGTAGGTGGGCTCTGTACGGAAATCTGATTTTTCATGCACCACTTTATGCTGGAAATGTCCTTATTTCTGTAAAGGAAAACAAAAGCCAGGCGCTTTGAGCAGTAAATACCTATATAGCATCAATCCAACATGTGGTTTACCTCCGGGTATCTAAGGAGCTCATTATCATGGGAAGAGTCACTGTATGTTGACTCTAAAAAAACAGCCTCATGTGACACCGGCATCACATGGAATCACAAGCACATCACATAGTGAAGCTGCAGCAATAAAACCGATACAAGTACAACTTGAACAGAGAGTAAGTAAGCTCTTGACAAGTATGACTTTAACAAGGAGCGACAAAGACCAACCTAGTGGAATAAATGGAAGGGAAAAAGACACACACAGGGTCTTTATGTCATGTTTCCCGCAGGGCATCTCCTATTGACTTACCTGCTGCTGGACCTCATCAAGCGCTCTGCTCCTGCCCGTATTGTCGTCGTGGCATCGGTGGCTCACACTTGGACCGGAATTCGACTGGATGACATCAACAGTGAGAGGAGTTACGACACCATGAAGGCCTATGGGCAGAGCAAACTGGCCAACGTCCTCTTTGCACGCTCACTTGCCAAACTATTGCAAGGTGAGGTGGTGCATGCGTAGGCACACGTCACAAGGGATGGAGGCAAGAAAGAATAAGAAAGCTTTGGTTTTAAATTCGATGGACACATCTCTGTTGTAGCCATGATGAATTCATACCCCCAATTGTTATGATAACACATGGACATGTGCACGTGTTTGGTCAGGCTGAGACACTGGGGATGTTTTGGTTTGGAAGCTTGATGGATCATTTTCTACGGTTTGGGAGCAAACTAGCCTTCACAGTTGTTGCTGAGAACGATGACTCAGAAAGTAGCATTTTATTTAATTTTGCATACAAACACTGACGTGACAAAGTCAAAATGTTCCATTACTTGCACATTCGTTTTCCTTTTCCTTAATGGCAGTGGACTGAAACAAATAACATTCATACGACAACCCTACAGTCTAATAGTAGATTACCAAGGTCTGGAGTCTATCATGTGTAAGCATGGCTTTATGTGTGTAGGTTACTGTGCAGGGGCCTTTTATTCGTGTTGCAGGTACGGGGGTGAGTGTGTTCTCTCTGCACCCGGGGGTGGTGCAATCTGACCTGTGGAGACATCAGCACCAATGCATCCAGGTGGCAGTGAAGATCTTCAGGGTTTTTACCAAGACAACACTGGAGGGAGCACAGACCACCATCTACTGCGCTGTGGAGCCAGGCCTGGACAGCCAGAGCGGGGGGTACTTCAGGTACACACAGTACTAACAAACCGAAAATTGGCCACACAAAAGCTTTAATGTTGTATGATAAACGAACACGGCGCAGTGTGTAATGGCCGTTTTTCTATGCCGGGCAGTGACTGCGCTCCTGCTAGGTGCTCAAGGGCGGCTTCGGATGAAGATTTGGCCCAAAAGCTGTGGGAGATCAGCTGCAACATGCTTGGCATCACCTGGCAGTGAACAGTGTTGAATGAGCTGTGCAGTGAAATAACATTGTATGATGTGTTAGAGAGCACTTTCACACACTTGTACATAGGCATTCATGTTACTGTTACTGATGTGCTCTTTATAAATCAAAGTACCGACAGGTCAAAACGTTTAGGCTCTTTTATTTTGTATAAATATCAAAATTACATTTTTTGTCAAATTGTGTTTTTCAAGCAAGGTTGCATGACAAAACTGTCTATCTACTATACTTTACTGACCCAAGTGGGCATTCTTTATTGAGACCGTTTTTTAATCTTGAGTGCAGTTGCGCTTCTGTCTTGTTGTTGTAAATGTTAAAAGCGATCCGCCAGCATGGTCTAAACGTGTTTTCATTGGACAGCCCTCTATCACCTGCAACTTCAAATGCAAGCTGAAGAATGGAAAAAAATTTGTCAAGAAACGGCCTGTATGTAAAAATTAAACTAGACCGGTGGACATATTGCAAAGTTCTGCTTGTTTGTGACTTTTACGTAAACCTGACTTCTGTTTAGCAGTTTGGTTGACCGTTTCAGTGTGACACTGGGATAAATGTAACCATTGGGAGTCAACACAGTTTAAGGAAGTTTAGTGTGGAAGCAACGAAAGACTTAAAGTCTTAAAGGCTCAGCCGTGCCACCCACACCGATGAATGAATTTCAACGTGACTCACTCCATGGTCCATTCTTTAAAATCCCAATTGTAATAAATAAATGTTAAAATCCTATCCATTGAACGAGGCCCCAATAATGGATATATAACATAGGACATAGAATGCCTTGGACCGCAGCACAACTACTGGGAGCGAGGTACTTGATACAGTCTAGAACTATTAGCTTAAGAAACAAGGATCAAAAGAAAACACCAGAATTCTATTTAGTTTTTTAATCCCAATCACATGTTGGAGTATTTAGAAACAAAAGGAATGTGGCATGAGCAAAATGAGTGGCAACAAAGATTCAATGCTCCCTCAAAGCAATATGTGTGTAGCCAGTGGTAGTTTAGAAAAGTAATGCACTAACCAAACAACAAATACAGGGACTGTGAAAAAACTATTTTTGCTTGTAAACTGACAGCGTTCAATACAAATATTCCTACTGAATTACAGTCCATAGTTTGTTAGTAACGCATATCCCATAGCGGCCCATGCTATTAGACACACATAGTGTGAGGTTTGTGATATTTGAATTATCACAATTATTGAATTATAAAGTTGACAGAGAGAGAAAAGTGTAGCAAAAAAAGGTTTATCGCTCTAAACTTGTAAGTCTTAATATTTTAAGACTCAACAGATCAGTGAGAGAAAGATACTTTTTATAACTCAGGTCTCATAAGTGCCTACATCTAGATATAATGAACGCAGTCTGCGCTAAAGCCTCCTGACCTGCAGGCGGCAGTGTCGGAATTACCTCCACTTAGTTGACAGGGAGAATGAAGACGATGCGCATGCGCGCGGGAAGGATACGTCACCTCTTTTCCAACGAGCAGCCCGAAAGCGACGTGGCCCTCATTCCTCCGACTGTCTATCTGTCCTACCCGACCTCAGAAACAGGCAAGACAAAACCTTTTCTATTTACTGTTATTGTGTCCCACACGAAGACGACACGCTCACTGTTGTGCTGGTGTTTAACTACGATTCGGTTTTATTGATTTATTTCATCGCGAAACGACGGGATTCAGCCTCGCGTCGCCTTCGACGTCAGCAGCCCGGCCACCCGAAGCTCTGACGCGGATGTTGTGTCTCACTTTGTCCCGCAGCTCGAGCGCCATGGATCAGGTGATGCAGTTCGTGGAGCCCAGCCGGCAGTTCGTCAAAGACTCCATAAGGCTCGTCAAGAGATGCACGAAACCCGACAGGAAAGGTAGGTTTCGTACCGCTGTCTCCTCCGGGTCCCTCCGGTTCCTCCGGTTCCGCTTCCCTCAGCGGCGACTAGTGAAACATTTATACGAGTCAAGACGCGGCACAAGTTTTATGTTTTTTCGTAATTGGCTGTATTTTATTTGTGGTGGATTTCAACATCGATGATCGCTCGCGGTTCTTTCAGAATTCCAGAAAATCGCCATGGCCACGGCGATCGGGTTCGCCATCATGGGTTTCATCGGTTTCTTCGTCAAACTGATTCACATCCCCATCAACAACATCATTGTGTGAGTATAGGGGTGAGGGGTACATCATTGTGTGAGTATAGGGGTGAGGGGTACATCATTGTGTGAGTATAGGGGTGAGGGGTGAGATCGGGGGTGAGGGGTTCAGTCGGTGGAGGTAGTGGACGTCCCGGCTCAGTCCCGGGACGCGACGTCAAACATTTGATCCCATTGCAGTCAGTCATCTGTCCTGAGTGCTTCATTGTCTCCATCTACTCACTACAAACATGTTTAATGAGATCCAATGCTGCAGAAATGCACTGAAACATTATTATTCTGTATCTCAAATACAAATACATTTGTGTTCTAAGGTATTAGTACATTCCTATCCTGAAAATGTCACTATATATGTATAATATTTATAAGCTGGATCATATCATTGTGATCCCCGTTTGAATACCGTGTACTCTTTTTGCATAATTAATACGTGATGTCAAACCTTTTTTTGTATTGTTACACAACTATCATGGATACTTTACAGCCTAAACATCAGCAGTCAACCAGTCGTGATTGTATTTTTTGGTACATTCATTCATTATTCATTTAAGCCATGATAATAATCTTAATGTTGGACTGTTTTGTGGAGAAAGTTGTGGCACAAAGATAAATCTTAGCGGTGACGGACACGTTATACTTGTTTTGGGGACTACTTTTGTACAGCAGTGATTCATTGCTTTGCTCAGTCATTCAAACTATTACAGTAATGTTCATGTCCTATTTGGCTTTCACCGATAATTAACAGTGCTTATCTTTTCTTTTTTCCATCTAGTGGTGGTTGAGTCCTGGTGAGGAAGGAAACAAACCTCAATACCCGGGGACAGGAGACAGTGGTGTAAAGTGTGATAGGGGACTGAAGGGATGGCATTTTTACATTCTGTGCACAACATTTATATTTCAATGTGTAAATAAAACAAATGGGAAATTCACAGATTTGTCCCCTATTTGCTTTTCAATCACTGCATTTATAAAAGGAAAAACCGTTTCAACTGTCATCTGGCACTATTATGTTGTTCTAGTTCTTAGCAGAAGCCTTGACGTTAAAGGCACACGGTGCAGGCTGTGATTCCTCAGAGGTATAGCAGAGTCTCGGTCAGGCTTAGATTTATCTTCCTTCATACGGTTAATTTAAAATTTCACCCCGCATGGTGAGGAAGCACATCCAAATACATTAGTCAACAATGGTCACTAATGATGTTACGGTCTTTCGGTCAGTTAGTCATTTCCACGCTCTCCAAAAACCTCTCAAACGTATGAGTTGTCCATAGCACGTTCTTCGTAGTCAAATGTGGCCCGAGAAGGAAGTGGGGCTTCCGCTGCGTCATTGCCCATCCTCACAGATGCCCATGCTCCAGATCAAGGGCTGGTCTGTTGTCACGGTTACGGGCTTTCTGGGGTGTCCGGGTCCAACGGGTTCATAGGTGTTCGAGGTGCTCACCAGCTTCCCAAACTGCAGGACCTGGTTACCTGGACAGACGAGACAGACGAGTGATTAAAGTCAGCAGTAATGAGGTTCTACTGAGCCATGCGGCACTTTAAATCGCATGGTTACATCATTCAAACTGTGAGTTTTATAATCTACGCCCATCTGTATCTTTGACTGTCAATAATTCAGCAATATGCCACGGCCTTGTTTGGGAGGATGTGATCTGCAGCAATTGGTGTCCCCCCCCCCTGAATAACAGGCAGGGTGGTACTGCATGACTTTGCAGTATGTTACTCTAAGGCCACAGAGCGTACTCCCACTCCACGGTTACTCGAGTGCCAACGAATCCCTCAACTTCCTCCAGCGGGAACGGTGACCACCGAGTCAAATCAGGCCTTTTGTTTGGTCGGATTGCGCCCGCTCAGAGTAAACTCAACTTTTGTGGAGTGGAGCATTTTAAATGAAAAAAGATACAATATTTTTATACATTTTTCAACCAAATGATGAGCTGAGATAAGTCATATCTACCTCCCGATAATCTCACTATTAAGGCCCAATGCTTCAAAAGGTAAACCATATAAGTTGAGAAATGTGGTCGTCTTTGTGCTCCATTGGTGCTGTCTCACTACGGGACATCCATTTGTTCACTCTTGGTTTAAAAAAATAAATATAAAACCAAATTGTAGCACTTTAATCACACTTATCTAGAGCAAGTTGCAAATCGGCTTATTCAATGAAATTGCACTTTCTTGTTTCTTGTTCTTCTGGGTTTGTGTGCTTATGGTTTAAAATGCACTTATTGTAAGTCACTTTGGATAAAATGAAAATGACATGTAATGTAGAAGAAGTGGTGGTTTACTTTATATAAAGTAGGATGAAGGTAAACCTGGCCAACACTGACATCTAGTGGTCCAGGCAGGAAGCTCGGTAGTATGTGTGGTGAGGGGGCGAGACACCAGTAATCCCTCAACAGTTACTCCCAATAAATAAGGCATTATCTTTTTCATCCTGACCGTGCTTTGTATCTTTTAAACTGGCAAAGAGAACCATCTTAATAATGTAAAACACGACAGTTTTCTCTTGTGAGGAATGAATTTATGCAAAATGATGAATCCTTAAGGACAGTTACGGAACCATTAAGCCGCGCTGCAAAAAGGCCCAAGTGGCAGGAGGAGAAATTTGCGTGTCACTTCAGACCTTTAACATTTACATTTATTCACGCACCATTTGCTCTGAAGGAGCCCAGGTGACAAACACGGTGAGAGTGGAGCTGTTGGATCGTGGCTAATGTGAAAAGGGCAAACCTCTACCTCGGGAGATTCCTACCAGGGCCACTTTATTATTCATTCACCGTAGGTTCTAACAATCTGGAGCAAATTGAACAGTGAAATAGGTAAAATAAAAAAGAAATCTGCTTTAATTGGGTTTGCATTTTGTTTGTAATACTTCCCAGAAAAATAAAAAAAAGACCTTCTGCTGCGGCTTTTATCTTCAAGTTGAACAGATCTATTTCTTAAAATCACCCGTCCCAGCACGGCCTTAAACCATGATACACTGTTTTTTAATGATCCCTTAAGTACATCTATTCATCGATCAGCTCTAAAAGCATTGACCTTACTTTTTAAAGCTATTTGATCTAATTAACAGGTATTGCCCGCTTAGTGTGTGAGCAGACCGAGTAGCACAAACAGCAGCTCAAACTAGGGTGGGTGCGTCTGTTTCTACCTGTCAATCATCTCCGCCCCATTAACAACTGTTCTATTTTCATTTCAGGGGATAGAGTTGCCATCTGCTCTTATGAATAATTTGAGCTTTTACAAATTACCTTAAAAAGGCACCAATTTGTCACTCTTCATACACATTCAAATAATATTGAAGGTATGTATTTATTGTCAGTAACAACTGTTATTGTTATATGAACAGGCTGATGGACAGAATAACTGCAATTATAACCCCAAAAGGCGTTGCTTTACTCAGGTGAATAGCAAAAGTGTATTTATTTATTTAGTATTTAAAATACTTCCAGTAGCTATAATACGAGTATGTTGTTTCCAGTTAAACTTTAGTTTCATAAACTTTGACTCAAATCTCAAAGCTATTACTGTAATAAATTGTAAATCACTAAACTCTAACGGTTGTTGTGAGCAACTCAATCCTGGGTCTTAGAATAAAGCCTTTGTATTTATTTATATATATAATTCAAACCGCAATAACAAAACCAATTAATCATAGAACCTTTTTTGGCGAACGTTACGCTTCACACATCACACTACACACTATTAACCCAAACCAACACCTTATGATTGCATTGTTTCAACATCTTTCACACAAAATAATGAAATATAAAGAATTTCATGAATATGCAAAAATAGTTTTGGCGCAATCACTTCATGCCAAGGCAAAAAATGAACACAAAGGAACAAAGGCTGAGGAGAATGAAGCGAATCATTTGTCCACAGGCGCCTGCACGCACATCAAACGAAAAAAAGCTACTGTGCTTCAAAGACTGCCACACGAGCACGGCGTCGGACCAGCTCGACTGAGAGGAGTAAAACAAGCTGCATGTGAAGTTTGGCTGCTTAATAATTGAGTGAACAGAGCCGCGGCGTGTAAGAGAATCGTTTTGGACTGTTGTTTGAGTCTCACTCTGGAGTTTTCACTCAGGGGGATGCGTCTTTCTCTCACCAGCTTAGAGCAACAAAGCTTTTCCAAACAGCCGGGACAAACAAAGGAGTCCAGGCAGATATCGCAGTGTTCTTTGTCGTGTGCGTATTTTACCTTCACAGCTCTCTTCTGGAAAAAAACCCACAAGGCCACATGTAAAGATTAACAGGGATCTCATTATGAGCATCATATTCCTTTCTGCTTGAACAGGTTTTAGATATTCTCCTCAACAAGTTTCTTCTTCAATACTTACTCAATAACTAAATAATAATTGACATTAATGTTAACTACATGTTAACTAGCATCAGTGTGGCAATAATGGATCTCAAATTAGGTTCCTCAGCAGGCTGCCAAGACTCAACAGCTTTACATTTGTCCAAAGATCTTCACCAAAGCCCAGTTGGATCGTATCACAGCGAGGAAGGAGGCTTCCAGGTGTAAACGGTGACGTCTGGTGCAAGCAGCCGGACTCCCACCAGAGGCAGCAGAGCACTGCAGACAACCACAGGACGGCCCCGTGGCTCCTACAGCTACAAACACACATTGTCCCCCTCCAGCTGTCCTTCACGCACATCTTCTCTTAGAAGCACGCACGCACAGACGGGACACCCCCCCCCCCGCGCGAAAACTCTTTACCACCCAAAAAGCTTTCAGATGGCTTCATTAGTAATCCCCTCCTCAAAGCTGATAGCGATCGATGGCCACCCCCCCCCTCCACTCCTCCTCCTCCTCGCAAAGGGGACCCAAATGAGCGTCGCACCCTCCAGTGATAACAATGGAGATGTTTGCTGCCTGTAATTGCATTTCCAGCACCACAGCCGAAAGGGGCCGTCAGCTGTAAGTAGACCGTATTTACACCACAAATTACCCAGAGAGGGGGTGGGAGGGGGTGGGAGGGGAGACGCGCAGACACTCATGCTGCAGTCGGACAGGTAGAGAGGGGAATTATGGGTATTATTGGGGGGGGGGGGGGGCGTTTTGGCACAAGGAGAGAAGACTCTGCTCCATTTCGCCTCTCCACATGGCAGACAGGTTCTCAAAAGGACATGTTGGAAAAGCTTTTCTAAACAGCAATAGATTAGCCACATTATGTGGAGGTCAGCGTGCACGCGAGTCCACAGTCTGCGGGAAGCCGTTTGTGTCCCAGGCGTCTGTTTGAGTTAATGTCCTCAAAAACGATGGCCATATGTTCCATTAAACGCAGTTTGTTTGGCAAAGATAACGCTGATCTCTTCACTTTGCTCAACGCGCAGGTCGCAGCTGTTAGAAATCATTTTGGTCTTCCCGCTCGTCCGTCCCGCCGCCGTCACTCAAAGAGCTGGAAGGCGATCGCTGTCTCAACCAAGACGCAGATCGATACGGAGGCGAGCAAAAGCGGGCCCTTATTTTCCAGAGCTGACTTTTGCTAATCACCCGTAATGGGGGGGGAGGAAATTGTTTGTGGAAAGGAAATAGCGTTGCGTGAGTCAGCGTGGTCCGAGAGGCACATGAACTTACACAGAGGAGACCATTTTATCCCCCCCCATTAATTCTGAACGCGCAAATCCCCCTGTTAACGCGGCTCGTCGTCGAGGGGCAAATTGAGCTCATTCAGTCTGATCCTCCACTGTGCTATCAAACTTCATCACGCGTCACAGTTTGAGAGAGAAAATCATTTTCTATAAATCATGTTTGTTCAATGCCGAGCTGTCCAATTACTAAGATGAGGTGAATATGTGACTGTGTTTCTTTATACTCAAACCCTGCCCAATGCCCCCTTTGGAAAAGACAGCGTACGTCATTGCAATCCATGGACTGTACGGTATCTGTACTTTTGCAAGGTACAACAAGAGAGTAATAAGGTGAAAAGAATACACATTTAATGGTTTGAATTTAAGGCCTGTTTCACCTCCACAGAAGCGAATGGTTGTTAGTTTGTAGATGGATGAGGAAAAGACTTGTGTTAGTGTACAATACTGTGCCAGGCGTTATCTAACGTTATCTAAGATTTGTACCGGGTTTACTGGTTAAGCCATTCAGATGCTAATGCCTGAGTTTTATTTGTATAGCTGATTCCACTCCTTTAAAGTTTAAACAATGACACGGCATGAAAATGGAACTAAAAAAATCCAACTTTCACATTCTTTTAGTATTATAATATAATTTTAATAACATGTAAAAATCGAATTTTTGAATCACCGTGAAGCTTGTGGTTATTCAAGCCCCGAACTGTGCATATGGCACCAGCCTGCAATCTCAATAAGGTGTCCTTCCTTTTCTCCACCTGACAGTCTGCTCATATTCAAGGCTATTTATTGGCCATGACATGAGCCAAGGCTTGCACTAGCATTGTTAGCACCATCTGCTGTGCAATGATAGCCACTTCCATTAAATGTTT